CTCTTCTAGCATCCGCGACCCGTCCTCTCCCACTCTCCGCTTTTCCTCCGCCCTGCCGGCCCCCACCCCCCAGGCTGTATTAATCTGATTTAACACCCCCGCTCCTCACCCTCAACAAACCTTCCAAATTTCCCGTTCCCCTCTGACCCCTCCTTTTGCTAAACACCAAACCCGTCATACCTGCAATTCCCCCCACCTTTCCCGAAAAAACAAACCCCCTTCCCTTTAACACCCTTTTACATTTCCCACACACCCGTTGGGAAACCCGGAGAACCTTAATCCCCGTTCCCCCCTTCGCTATCGGGTGGGCCCCCGGGGAAAAAAAAGCGGCCTACAAAACACGACTTACCCAAGACCCGCGGAGGGGAAAGAGCAGGAATTAAGAGGGGAAAAGAAGAAAGGAAAAGAAAACAAGAGACAAAGAGGGAGGCGGAACCCCCGGTCGGTAGCCCAGTCAGAAAATTGATCAAATTCCTGCTCGTCCACCTAGACAGATGAAATCTAAACAAATCCCGGACACCGGGGAAGAAGAAAGGACCTTAACCAGAGCTGAAGAAATGTGGCCTGTACCGAGCCACAGTCAACAGGAGAACGAGAGCAATGTCCCTGCATCACGCCTGGTGCGAACACTCCACCCCGGGGTTACGTGCAGCCGAACACTGGGGTGCAAACACTGCCTGCCCCCAAAAAACAAACCCATGAACCCCTGCAATCACACCGAACCCTGTACATTTCCTGAATCACACCTAACCCTGTACATGTTCATTATAACTCTTGAATTAACTGAATGAACAACCCTGCCACAATCCTATCCACAACCCTGTCACAACCATAAAATAAAAATACATGTTTGTCTTGAATATACTTGTGTTTGAAGTCGTTCTCTTAGCTTGCTGGTGTGATGGAACCAATACTCCTGCCCCTTCACCAATCTCAGACCATAAACCCGATCATCCTCGACTCACTAGACCCAATCCACGAAGCAATAACCGAGTATCACTAGAACTGCCCTCACCACTCTCCCAGTAGGAAAGACTCGGAAAGAAAGCCAAACAGAGAGGAAAAGAGAAACGCCCAGAGAAACCCTAGACCGAAGAGAAGGAAAGGGGACTAGAAAGAGCGAAGAGGAAAGAGAGGAAAGAGGAAAGAGGAGGAGGAAAAAAGTGCAGAGAAATAGGCAGAAGAATCAAGAGAGAGAAAAGACAGCAAGAGAGAAAAGACTGACAAGAGAGAAAAGAGAGACAAGAGAGAAAACGAAATAAAATAGAAAAGAGAGAGAGAAAAGAAGAAAAAGGAAGGAGAAAAGAAGAAAGAGAGAAAAAAGAGAAAAGAGGAGAAGAGAGAAAAGAGAGAAAGAGAGAAAGAGAGCAGAGAGAAAAGGGAAGAGAGGCTCAGAGAGGAAAAAGAAGGAAACGAAGAGAAGAGCGGAAAGAGAGAAAAGAGTCTTAATTTCCAAAGCAGATACAACATCTCCCAGCTCTCCCTCTCTCCCTCTCTCCCCCTCTCTCCCTCTCTACCCTCTCTCCCCTCTCTCCCCTCTCTCCCTCTCTCCCTCCCCCCCTCTCCCCCCCACGCTCCAACCCACCCCCTCAGGATGGAACGTATAAAGCAGCGCCAGGAGAAGTTTAAGAGGGGGAAGAAGAAGTTGAGCCTGGCTCAGGAGTCAGGAGATGGAGAGAACCCCATCCAGCTACAGGAGCAGGAGGGGGAGAGTGAGGGTGAGGATGAGGGGGAGAGTGAGGGTGAGGATGAGGGGGAGGATGAGGGGGAGGATGAAGGGGAGGATGATGAGGGTGATGATGATGAGGGTGTTGTTCTCATGGAATGTTTAGGAAACCCTGGAATAGATTTTCATACAATCACGATCATTATATGATATAATCACTGTAAACAATGTTGTGGTACCTGTGCTTATGTTTTTTTTTAAACATATTTATTTTAAAATAGTTGTTTAATTTGCACAAGCTCTGAATGAAGCATTGATCTACCTGTGAAACTATTTGTATTTTAGGAGCAGAGCGAGAAAGAGAGAAAGTAAAATCCAAGACAAAGAAAAGGCAGTGGTGGCGGCATTGGGTTGACCACGCCTCCAGTAGGTTGACTCCTCCTTTTTTCTCTGCTCTGATTGGCTGTTGTGTCCTTGACCAGAACTCTCAGAGGATTCCCATACTGCAACTGGGCTCCAGACAACCCGAAAACAAACAAATACCAACATTCCGTCCAGACCTCAGTCCTTTTCTGACTCTATTTAAGGCCTCTTGTTTGATTGGTTGATTGATCGATTTGTTTATTGGTTGATTGATTGGTTGGTTAATTGATTGATGAACCCCAAAACATCAGAAATATACAGGGGGGATACTGTTCTGATTTGCTTAAATGAAATAAGACAATATTACAATATGCCTCAACTAATGGGCATAAAACGGGGCCTTAAAGAGACGTACTGATGTTTGTGGTTGTGGTTCTGAGGAGGCCAGTAGGGAATCTCTCATTGTGAAAGATTGTATTAAACAGAGCTCAAATCTATCCCCCGTTTCTCTTCCTGGATTCTATCTCTGTTATTATCATCAACAGACTATAATAATATGATGCTGAATAATAATATAATATAACCTGATTCAAACAAGGCTTAAATATCGCAATGATGAAATCAATGAGGCTGAAAAGCTTTTCAATATTCTTCTAGTCACAGATCGGTACCTAAAATCTTCCAAAATCGATCCCTACTGTCTCAGTTCTTCTCTGTGGTGGCCTGTTTCTGTATTGAATGTATTTCTTAGTATTAGTAGCCTTCATTATATTATTTCTCCATTTCACCACTCCCGTAAACATCCCATTCATATACAGTGCATTCGGAAAGTATTCCGACCCCTTGACTTTTTTCCACATTTTATTACGTTACAGCCTTATTCTAAAATGGATTAAATTGTATACACAATACCCCATAATAACAAAGCAAAACACGTTTTTATAATTTTTTGCAAATGTATGAAAAAATTAAAACTGAAATATTGCATTTACATAAGTATTCAGACCCTCTACTCAGTACTTTGTTGAAGCACCTTTGGCAGCGATTACAGCCTCGAGTCTTCTTGGGTATGATGCTACAAGCTTGGCACACCTGTATTTGGGGAGTTTCTCCCATTCTTCTCTGCAGATCCTCTCAAACTCTGTCAGGTTGGATGGGGAGCGTCGCTGCACAGCTATTTTCAGGTCTCTCCAGAGATGTTCGATCGGGTTCAAGTCCGGGCTCTGGCTGGGCCACTCAAGGACATTCAGAGACTTGTCCCGAAGCCACTCGTGAGTTGTCCAGAGCGACTTACAGTTAGTGAATGCATACGTTTTTTTTGTGTGTTTTTTTCATACTGGCCCCCCGTGGGAAACGAACCCACATCCCTGCCGGCCAAACCCTCCTCTACCTTGGACGACGCTGGACCAATTGTGCGCCGCCCATGGGTCTCCCGGTTGCGGCCGGCTGCGACAGAGCCTGGACTCGAACCAGGATCTCTAGTGGCACAGCTAGCACTGCGATGCTAGGGTCGTTGTCCTGTTGGAAGGTGAACCTTCGCCCCAGTCTGAGGTCCTGAGCGCTCTGGAGCAGGTTTTCATCAAGGATCTCGCTGTACTTTGCTCCGTTCATCTTTCCCTCGATCCTGACTAGTCTCCCAGTCCCTGCCGATGAAAAACATCCCCACAGCATGATGCTGCCACCTCCATGCTTCACCGTAGGGATGGTGCCAGGTTTCCTCCAGACGTGACGCTTGGCATTCAGGCCGAAGAGTTCAATCTTGGTTTAATCAGACCAGAGACTCTTGTTTCTCATGGTCTGAGAGTCCTTTAGGTGCCTTTTGGCAAACTCCAAGCGGGCTGTCATGTGCCTTTTACTGAGGAGTGGCTTCCGTCTGGCCATTCTACCATAAAGGCCTGATTGGTGGAGTGCTGCAGAGATGGTTGTCCTTCTGGAAGGTTCTCCCATCACTACAGAGGAACTCTGGAGCTCTGTCAGAGTGACCATCGGGTTCTTGGTCACCTCCCTGACCAAGGCCCTTCTCCCCTGATTGCTCAGTTTGGCCGGGCAGCCAGCTCTAGGAAGAGTCTTGGTGGTTCCAAACTTCTTCCATTTAAGAATGATGGAAGCCACTGTGTTCTTGGGGACCTTCAATGCTGCAGAAATGTTTTGGTACCCTTCCCCAGATCTGTGCCTCGACACAATCCTGTCTCGGAGCTCTGCTGACAATTCCTTTGACCTAATGGCTTGGTTTTTGCTCTGACATGCACTGTCAACTGTAGGACCTTATATAGACAGGTGTGTGCCTTTCAAAATCACATCCAATCAATTGAACATTTACCACAGGTGGACTCCAGTCAAGTTGTAGAAACATCTCAAGGATGATCAATGGAAACAGGATGCACCTGAGCTCAATTTCGAGTCTCATAGCAAAGGGTCTGAATACTTATGTAAATAAGATATTTCTGTTTTTTATTTTTAATACATTTGAAAAACATTTATAAAACCTGTTTTCGCGTAGTCATTATGGGGTATTGTGTGTAGATTGATGAGAAAAATAATATTTAATCCATTTTAGAAAAAGGCTGTAACGTAACAAAATGTGGAAAAAGGGGAAGGGGTCTGAATACTTTCTGAATGCACTGTATTACCCAGCATCCTCTACTCCTCTTCCCTCACTGTGGCTCTTCTGTTCAAGGACATAATTCAGTTTCAACTATTACAATACTTGTAAGGTCTCTGCCCAAGTCACCTCAAACCTGTGCCATGTCTTTAGTAAACAAACTAATGCTATTGTTGTGTGTCTAACATTGTGTCTGTTTTCCTACCCTTATCAACTTCATGCCGCTAGTTGGGCTTTTTGAATCAAACCAACCTCTGCTGCCTCCCATTGACCTAGTTGACAGACTCTCTACACCCCAAAAACATCACCTTCTTTCAAGCCCTTTCCTCCAGTTGATATTAACGGCGCCTTGCGCTCTACTCCTCAGTGGTGAGAAGCGGAGATTATTACTTGTTTGAAAGTGACAGTGAAGAAGAGGAGGAAGAGGAAAGAGAGAAAAGAGAGGAAGAACTGCAGCCTCCCAAGAAGTCAGCGTTTCAGGTGAGGAATAGAGCATCGCTGACGTTTCTCTAACGTAGTCACCGGTATTACTGTTGTGTGAAATATTATATTGTCAATATTGCCTAGTTTACTATGAGATCATCTGTTGCTGCTAGGAAAATGTATCTTGTTCTTTTCCACTCGGACATTTTCTTCAATGTAATCTAATTCTGTTTTCTACTAACCACCACCTTGTATCCCTCGTCTTCAGCGAGTTATTGGGGAGTTTGCCTCAGCCCTTATAGCTCTGCCCGGATCTATCATTAAACTGACCATCACCATCCTTCAGTATGTTCTCAGGGCAGCCAAGGTACCAAACAACAGATTTAGCATTTCCTCTTACCACAGCCTGTGTAGACTGTTTCCTGTGTCCTCAGCCTGTGTAGACTGTTTCCTGTGTCCTCAGCATGTGTAGACTGTTTCCTGTGTCCTCAGCCTGTGTAGACTGTTTCCTGTGTCCTCAGCCTGTGTATGCTGTTTCCTGTATCCTCAGCCTGTGTATGCTGTTTCCTGTGTCCTCAGCCTGTGTATGCTGTTTCCTGTATCCTCAGCCTGTGTATGCTGTTTCCTGTATCCACAGCCTGTGTATGCTGTTTCCTGTGTCCTCAGCCTGTGTATGCTGTTTCCTGTGTCCACAGCCTGTGTAGACTGTTTCCTGTGTCCTCAGCCTGTGTAGACTGTTTCCTGTGTCCTCAGCCTGTGTAGACTGTTTCCTGTGTCCTCAGCCTGTTATGCTGTTTCCTGTATCCTCAGCCTGTTAGCTGTTTCCTGTGTCCTCAGCCTGTGTATGCTGTTTTCCTGTATCCTCAGCCTGTGTATGCTGTTTCTGTATCCACAGCCTGTGTATGCCGTTTCCTGTGTCCTCAGCCTGTGTATGCGTTTCCTGTGTCCTCAGCCTGTGTATGCTGTTTCTGTGTCCTCAGCCTGTGTATGCTGTTTCTGTGTCCTCAGCCTGTGTATGCTGTTTCCCCGTGTCCTCAGCCTGTGTATGCTGTTTCATGTGTCCTCAGCCTGTGGTATGGTTCCTGTGTCCTCAGCCTGTGTCTGCTGTTTCCTGTGTCCTCAGCCTGTGTCTGCTGTTTCCTGTGTCCTCAGCCTGTGTATACTGTTTCCTGTATCCTCAGCCTGTGTCTGCTGTTTCCTGTGTCCTCAGCCTGTGTATGCTGTTTCCTGTATCCTCAGCCTGTGTATGCTGTTTCCTGTGTCCTCAGCCTGTGTATGCTGTTTCCTGTGTCCTCAGCCTGTGTCTGCTGTTTCCTGTGTCCTCAGCCTGTGTAGACTGTTTCCTGTGTCCTCAGCCTGTGTAGACTGTTTCCTGTGCCCTCAGCCTGTGTATGCTGTTTCCTGTGTCCTCAGCCTGTGTATGCTGTTTCCTGTGTCCTCAGCCTGTGTATGCTGTTTCCTGTGTCCTCAGCCTGTGTAGACTGTTTCCTGTGTCCTCAGCATGTGTAGACTGTTTCCTGTGTCCTCAGCCTGTGTATGCTGTTTCCTGTGTCCTCAGCATGTGTAGACTGTTTCCTGTGTTCTCAGCCTGTGTATGCTGTTTCCTGTGTCCTCAGCATGTGTAGACTGTTTCCTGTATCCTCAGCATGTTCTGTGTAGACTTGCTGTTGCATTGAAGGCCAATGCATTTATAACTAACTGTCTATCCATCCCATGTTATTTATTTCCTTTCGGCACGGTAATGTAGCTAAGGGCTGCCAACAATTTCAATTGAAAAGATAGTCCAGATGGATCAGAAACAATCACATCCGAAACACATGTGGGATGGAAACAGGCTGATCTGGATGGCATGTTTCTGAGGGATTGTGATCAGTTGGTTTGGAGAAGTTTGCATGAACAGGATCGAGCGTCTTCCGACAGGCCTCGGGATATGCATCGATGTAATTTGTTACTTTTTGACATCTTGATGCGGTTTGCTCCATTGCACTATACTGAATCTTGTTTTTAAATATTGACATGTAGTCACAAGTAAGCCACAAGTAGGTCCACTATAAGAACATAGATGATGCCATAATTCAAACATGTAGGTGGCTTCCTCTTTCGTACTAATGTCCAGTGGAGCAAACCACTCTGTTGTTGTCATCTTGTCTTTGGTCTGATGTTAATTGTTTCAATATGTGGGTTTTAAAGGGTCAACTAGTAAGGGGGATACCTAGTCAGTTGTACAACTGAATGCATTCAACTGAAATGTGTCTTCCACATTTAACCCAACCCCTCTGAATCAGAGAGGCGCGGGGGGGGGGGGGGGGGCTGCCTTAAATCGACATCATCGGCGCCCGGGGAACAGCCTTGCTCAGGGGCAGAACGACAGATGTTTACCTTGTCAGCTTGGGGATTCGATCCAGCAACCTTTACGGTTACTGGCTCAGCGTTCCTACCCGCCAGGCTACCTGCCACCCCAGGAGTCACTTGGCTTGCTGTTGCTCTTGTGCCTCTGACCGCTTTATTGTGTCATTCCTTTGATTGGACTGAGTCCTAACTTGAAATCAGTGTGCGTTTCTCAAGTTTTCGTACAAATCTTCCGTCAGCATCAACAGATAGTTGGAGTTTAGCGCACACATCTCAAATGAGGATCCGTCCCTTTATGTTCAAACTCTAACATTGTGCTTCCTGTACTGTACTGCCCCAGTTTGTCTACCATGTCTGGATAACAGACTCCAAGACAGCCATGAAGGAACGAAGCAAAGGCAAGTTCTGGAAGAGGTACACGAAGAGATACAAACACAAAAAGGACAAGATGGATGGTGAGTATAAGTTCTGGAAGAGGCAGACCAAGAGAGACAAAATAGTTCTGGAAGAGGTAGACCAAGAGAGACAAAATAGTTCTGGAAGAGGTAGACCAAAAAAGACAAAATAGTTCTGGAAGAGGCAGACCAAGAGAGACAAAATAGTTCTGGAAGAGGCAGACCAAGAAAGACAAAATAGTTCTGGAAGAGGCAGACCAAGAGAGACAAAATAGTTCTGGAAGAGGCAGACCAAGAGAGACAAAATAGTTCTGGAAGAGGTAGACCAAGAGAGACAAAATACAGTGGGGGAAAAAAGTATTTAGTCAGCCACCAATTGTGCAAGTTCTCCCACTTAATAAGATGAGAGAGGCCTGTAATGTTCATCATAGGTACACGTCAACTATGACAGACAAATTGAGGAAAAAAAATCCAGAAAATCACATTGTAGGATTTTTTATGAATTTATTTACAAATTATGGTGGAAAATAAGTATTTGGTCACCTACAAACAAGCAAGATTTCTGGCTCTCACAGACCTGTAACTTCTTCTTTAAGAGGCTCCTCTGTCCTCCACTCGTTACCTGTATTAATGGCACCTGTTTGAACTTGTTATCAGTATAAAAGACACCTGTCCACAAGTTCAAACAGTCACACTCCAAACTCCACTATGGCCAAGACCAAAGAGCTGTCAAAGGACACCAGAAACAAAATTGTAGACCTGCACCAGGCTGGGAAGACTGAATCTGCAATAGGTAAGCAGCTTGGTTTGAAGAAATCAACTGTGGGAGCAATTATTAGGAAATGGAAGACATACAACACCACTGATAATCTCCCTCGATCTGGGGCTCCACGCAAGATCTCACCCTGTGGGGTCAAAATGATCACAAGAACGGTGAGCAAAAATCCCAGAACCACACGGGGGGACCTAGTGAATGACCTGCAGAGAGCTGGGACCAAAGTAACAAAGCCTACCATCAGTAACACACTACGCCGCCAGGGACTCAAATCCTGCAGTGCCAGACGTGTCCCCCTGCTTAAGCCAGTACATGTCCAGGCCCGTCTGAAATTTGCTAGAGTGCATTTGGATGATCCAGAAGAGGATTGGGAGAATGTCATATGGTCAGATGAAACCAAAATATAACTTTTTGGTAAAAACTCAACTCGTCATGTTTGGAGGACAAAGAATGCTGAGTTGCATCCAAAGAACACCATACCTACTGTGAAGCATGGGGGTGGAAACATCATGCTTTAGGGCTGTTTTTCTGCAAAGGGACCAGGACGACTGATCCGTGTAAAGGAAAGAATGAATGGGGCCATGTATCGTGAGATTTTGAGTGAAAACCTCCTTCCATCAGCAAGGGCATTGAAGATGAAACGTGGCTGGGTCTTTCAGCATGACAATGATCCCAAACACAACCGCCCGGGCAACGAAGGAGTGGCTTTGTAAGAAGCATTTCAAGGTCCTGGAGTGGCCTAGCCAGTCTCCAGATCTCAACCCCATAGAAAATCTTTGGAGGGAGTTGAAAGTCCGTGTTGCCCAGCGACAGCCCCAAAACATCACTGCTCTAGAGGAGATTTGCATGGAGGAATGGGCCAAAATACCAGCAACAGTGTGTGAAAACCTTGTGAAGACTTACAGAAAACGTTTGACCTGTGTCATTGCCAACAAAGGGTATATAACAAAGTATTGAGAAACTTTTGATATTGACCAAATACTTATTTTCCACCATAATTTGCAAATAAATTCATTAAAAATCCTACAATGTGATTTTCTGGATTTTTTTTTCTCATTTTGTCTGTCATAGTTGACGTGTACCTATGATGAAAATTACAGGCCTTTCTCATCTTTAAGTGGGAGAACTTGCACAATTGGTGGCTGACTAAATACTTTTTTTCCCCACTGTAGTTCTGGAAGAGGCAGACCAAGAGAGACAAAATAGTTCTGGAAGAGGCAGACCAAGAGAGACAAAATAGTTCTGGAAGAGGTAGACCAAGAGAGACAAAATAGTTCTGGAAGAGGCAGACCAAGAGAGACAAAATAGTTCTGGAAGAGGTAGACCAAGAGACACAAACACAAGAAGGACAAGAAGGAAGGTAGGTTAATCAGGGGTAGGGTTGTAAAAGTCCAGTAACTTTCCAAAAAGGTTTTCCAGAAATCCCGTTTAGAGGATTCCCCAATTTCCTGCTTATTCCATCCTGATTCTAAGAGAAACTCCAACCACAGGATTTGTGGAAAACCTGTGAATTTTGGGAAAGTTAGCAGAATTTTGCAACCCTAACCAGAAGGGTAAACCAGAGTCAGTGTTTATAAAGAAGCAGATCATCAGCAGAGACACACTTTATTCTTGATTACCAGTCTATTCATTTATGTAAATAATGTACTGTAGAGGCCTTCAACCCTATCAAAAGAGGCTTGGTTGCGAAAGTGAAAAGGAGGGGTGAGAGTGGGCAGCCCAGAAGGTCTAGTAGAAAGGGTACTTACTGCTCATACATACACAATAATTATAATCCACATCTACATTTTTTACATTTTTAGTCATTTAGCAGACGCTCTTATCCAGAGCGACTCACAGGAGCAATTAGGGTTAAGTGCCTTGCTCAAGGGCACATCGACAGATTTTTCACCTAGTCGGCTTGGGGGATTAGAACCAGCGACCTTTCGGTTACTGGCCCAACGCTCTTAACCACTAAGCTACCTGCCACCGTCTACTGTATGTTATATGTGCATTAAGTTATTGTTTTGTTGTGTTGTCCTCTGTAAGTTATTGTTTTGTTGTGTTGTCCTCTATACAGTAAGTTATTGTTTTGTTGTGTTGTCCTCTATAAGTTATTGTGTTGTTGTGTTATTCTCTGTAAGTTATTGTTTTGTTTGTATTTTCTGTAAGGTATTGTTTTGTTGTGTTATTCTCTGTAAGTTATTGTTTTGTTGTGTTATTCTCTGTGAGTTATTGTTTTGTTGTGTTATTTCTGTGAGTTATTTTTTGTTGTGTTTGGACTCGAAGGTAATTGTTTTGTTTGTGTTGTCCTCTATACAGTAATTATTTGTTTTGTTGCTGTTCCTCTCTACAGTAAGTTATGTTTTGTTGTGTTGTCCTCTATTACAGTAGTTATTGTTTTTGTTTGTGTTGTCCTCATATATACAGTAAGTTATTGTTTCTTTTGTTGTGTTGTCCTCTATACAGTTAAGTTATTGTTTTGTTGTTTGTCCTCTATACAGTAAGTTATTGTTTGTTGTGTTGTCCTCTATACATAAGTTATTGTTTTGTTGTGTTGTCCTCTATACAGTAAAGTTTATTGTTTTGTTGTGTTGTCCTCCTATACCAGTAAGTTATTGTTTGTGTGTTGTCCTCTATACAGTAAGTTATTGTTTTGTTGTGTTGTCCTCTATACAGTAAGTTATTGTTTTGTTGTGTTGTCCTCTATACAGTAAGTTATTGTTTTGTTGTGTTGTCCTCTATACAGTAAGTTATTGTTTTGTTGTGTTGTCCTCTATACAGTAAGTATTGTTTGTTGTGTTGTCCTCTATACAGTAAGTTATTGTTTTGTTGTGTTGTCCTCTATACAGTAAGTTATTGTTTTGTTGTGTTGTCCTCTATACAGTAAGTTATTGTGTTGTTGTGTTGTCCTCTATACAGTACGTTATTGTGTTGTTGTGTTATTTTCTGTAAGTTATTGTGTTGTTGTGTTATTCTCTGTAAGTTATTGTGTTGTTATGTTATTCTCTATACAGTAAGTTATTGTTTTGTTGTGTTGTCCTCTATACAGTAAGTTATCGTGTTGTTGTGTTATTCTGTAGGTCATGTGACTATAGAGTTAGGCGAGACAGAGGAGGATCAGAAGGGAGGAGAGGAGGAGAAGTCTGATGGACCAGGTGGGTACCACAGCCCATTTTGAAATACTGTAGTATATTGAAGCAATAAGGCCCGAGGGAGTGTGGTATATGGCCAATATACCACGGCTAAGGGCTGTTCTTATGCACGACGCAACGCAGAGTGCCTGGACACATCCCTTAGCCGTGGTATATTGGCCATATACCACAAACCCCCGAGGTGCCTTATTGCTATTATAAACTGGTTACCAACGTTATTAGAGCAGTAGACAAGTAGTTATGTGTCAAACCCATGGTATATTGTCTGATATACCACGGCTTTCAGCCAATCAGCATCCAGGAGCCAAACTACCCGGTTTATAATTATATCCAAAACACATGGAGAGACAATGACCAACCTCGATTCAATACAAAACATTTAAATACATATATTATACATTATCCTTAATATAGTTTACTCAGAGTCTATGATAGTCAATAACAATGTGAACGTGAGCGTGGATGTTATGGCTACTTTAGTTGAATGGACTGATGTTATGGCTACTTTAGTTGAATGGACTGATGTTATGGCTACTTTAGTTGAATGGACTGATGTTACGGCTACTTTAGTTGAATGGACTGATGTTATGGCTACTTTAGTTGAATGGACTGATGTTATGGATAGTTTAGTTGAATGGACTGATGTTATGGCTACTTTAGTTGAATGGACTGATGTTATGGCTACTTTAGTTGAATGGACTGATGTTATGGCTACTTTAGTTGAATGGACTGATGTTATGGCTACCTTAGTTGAATGGACTGATGTTATGGCTACTTTAGTTGAATGGACTGATGTTATGGCTACTTTAGTTGAATGGACTGATGTTATGGATACTTTAGTTGAATGGACTGATGTTATGGATACTTTAGTTGAATGGACTGATGTTATGGCTACTTTAGTTGAATGGACTGATGTTATGGATACTTTAGTTGAATGGACTGATGTTATGGCTACTTTAGTTGAATGGACTGATGTTATGGATAGTTTAGTTGAATGGACTGATGTTATGGCTACTTTAGTTGAATGGACTGATGTTATGGATAGTTTAGTTGAATGGACTGATGTTATGGATAGTTTAGTTGAATGGACTGATGTTATGGCTACTTTAGTTGAATGGACTGATGTTATGGATACTTTAGTTGAATGGACTGATGTTATGGATAGTTTAGTTGAATGGACTGATGTTATGGATAGTTTAGTTGAATGGACTGATGTTATGGATAGTTTAGTTGAATGGACTGATGTTATGGATAGTTTAGTTGAATGGACTGATGTTATGGCTACTTTAGTTGAATGGACTGATGTTATGGCTACTTTAGTTGAATGGACTGACGTTATGGCTACTTTAGTTGAATGGACTGATGTTATGGCTACTTTAGTTGAATGGACTGATGTTATGGCTACTTTAGTTGAATGGACTGATGTTATGGATGGTTTAGTTGAATGGACTGATGTTATGGATAGTTTAGTTGAATGGACTGATGTTATGGCTACTTTAGTTGAATGGACTGATTGGACTGATGTTATGGCTACTTTAGTTGAATGGACTGATGTTATGGCTACTTTAGTTGAATGGACTGATGTTATGGCTACTTTAGTTGAATGGACTGATGTTATGGCTACTTTAGTTGAATGGACTGATGTTATGGCTACTTTAGTTGAATGGACTGACGTTACGGCTACTTTAGTTGAATGGACTGACGTTATGGCTACTTTAGTTGAATGGACTGATGTTATGGCTACTTTAGTTAAATGGAATGATGTTATGGCTACTTTAGTTGAATGGACTGATGTTATGGCTACTTTAGTTGAATGGACTGATGTTATGGCTACTTTAGTTGAATGGACTGATGTTATGGCTACTTTAGTTGAATGTACTGATGTTATGGCTACTTTAGTTGAATGGACTGATGTTATGGCTACTTTAGTTGAATGGACTGATGTTATGGCTACTTTAGTTGAATGGACTGATGTTATGGCTACTTTAGTTGAATGGACTGATGTTACGGCTACTTTAGTTGAATGGACTGATGTTACGGCTACTTTAGTTGAATGGACTGATGTTACGGCTACTTTAGTTGAATGGACTGATGTTATGGCTACTTTAGTTGAATGGATTGATGTTATGGCTACTTTAGTTGAATGGACTGATGTTATGGCTACTTTAGTTGAATGGACTGATGTTATGGCTACTTTAGTTGAATGGACTGATGTTATGGCTACTTTAGTTGAATGGACTGATGTTATGGCTACTTTAGTTGAATGGACTGATGTTATGGATAGTTTAGTTGAATGGACTGATGTTATGGATAGTTTAGTTGAATGGACTGATGTTATGGATAGTTTAGTTGAATGGACTGATGTTATGGATAGTTTAGTTGAATGGACTGATGTTATGGCTACTTTAGTTGAATGGACTGACGTTATGGCTACTTTAGTTGAATGGACTGACGTTATGGCTACTTTAGTTGAATGGACTCATGTTATGGCTACTTTAGTTGAATGGACTGATGTTATGGCTACTTTAGTTGAATGGACTGATGTTATGGCTACTTTAGTTGAATGGACTGATGTTATGGCTACTTTAGTTAAATGGACTGATGTAATGGCTACTTTAGTTGAATGGACTGATGTTATGGCTACTTTAGTTGAATGGACTGATGTTATGGCTACTTTAGTTGAATGGACTGATGTTACGGCTACTTTAGTTGAATGGACTGATGTTATGGCTACTTTAGTTGAATGGACTGATGTTATGGCTACTTTAGTTGAATGGACTGATGTTATGGCTACTTTAGTTGAATGGACTGATGTTATGGCTACTTTAGTTGAATGGACTGATGTTATGGCTACTTTAGTTGAATGGACTGATGTTATGGCTACTTTAGTTGAATGGACTGATGTTATGGCTACTTTAGTTGAATGGACTGATGTTATGGCTACTTTAGTTGAATGGACTGATGTTATGGCTACTTTAGTTGAATGGACTGATGTTATGGATAGTTTAGTTGAATGGACTGATGTTATGGCTACTTTAGTTGAATGGACTGATGTTACGGCTACTTTAGTTGAATGGACTGATGTTATGGCTACTTTAGTTGAATGGACTGATGTTATGGCTACTTTAGTTGAATGGACTGATGTTACGGCTACTTTAGTTGAATGGACTGACGTTATGGCTACTTTAGTTGAATGGACTGATGTTATGGCTACTTTAGTTGAATGGACTGATGATATGGCTACTTTAGTTGAATGGACTGATGTTATGGCTACTTTAGTTGAATGGACTGATGTTATGGCTACTTTAGTTGAATGGACTGATGTTATGGCTACTTTAGTTGAATGGACTGATGTTATGGCTACTTTAGTTGAATGGACTGATGTTACGGCTACTTTAGTTGAATGGACTGACATTATGGTTACTTTAGTGGAAATGATTGATTGTAAGTCACTTTGACTAAGAGTCTATGGTAAATGTAACTTCTCTTCCACGTCCCAGCAGACAACGTCCTGAAGCGAGTGTTCGACGTCGTCAAGTTCACCTGGGCGTTGTTCCAGACCGCGGTGGAGAGCTTCACCAAGTGGATGAACAACGTGTGTAGAGAACACCAAGACATCTCCACCGTGCTGCGCATTGAGAGATGCATGCTCACTAGAGAGGTCAAAAAGGTAGTGACCTGCTACTGTCGCTCTCTCTCTGTCTGTCTTTGAGTTTTTTTATTTTACACACTTATAAATAGTTACGTTTTGACTTTAATATACAACAAACTATCAAAATAGAGAATTAAGTGATGATCTTGATCCTAACCATCAAACCTCTCCCCAGGGTAACGCCCCGTCCAGAAAGACTATCCATGTGTTCTACCAGAAGCATGAATCAATGACAACATATATAACCTACAGTCCATTGGGAAAGTATTCAGACCCCTTGACTTTCTCCACAATTTGTTACGTTACAGCCTTATTCTAAAATTGATTAAATTGTTTTTTTCCCCTCATCAATCTACACACAATACCGCATAATGACAAAGCAAAAACTAGTTTTTAGACATTTTTGCTAATTTATTAAAAATAAAAAACAGAAATATGACATTTACATAAGTATTCAGACCCTTTACTCAGTACTTTGTTGAAGCACCTTTGGCAGCGATTACAGCCTCGAGTCTTCTTGGGTATGATGCTACAAGCTTGGCACACCTGTATTTGGGGAGTTTCTCCCATTCTTCTCTGAAGATCCTCTCACGCTCTGTCAGGTTGGATGGGGAGCTCTGGAGCACTGTCAGAGTGACCATCGGGTTCTTGGTCACCTCCCTGACCAAGGCCCTTCTTCCCCGATTGCTCAGTTTGTCCGGGCGGCCAGCTCTAGGAAGAGTCTTGGTGGTTCCAAACTTATTTCATTTAAGAATGATGGAGGCCACTGTGTTCTTGGACATTCAATGCTGCAGAAATGTTTTGGTACCCTTTCCCAGATCTGTACCTCGACACAATCCTGTCTCGGAGCTCTACGGACAATTCCTTCGACCTCATGGCTTGGTTTTTGCTCTGACATGCACTGTCAACTGTGGGACCTTATATAGACAGGTGTGTGCCTTTCCAAATCATGTCCAATCAATTGAATTCACCACAGGTGGACTCCAGTCAAGTTGTAGAAACATCTCAAGGATGATCAATGGAAACAGGATGCACCTGAACTCAATTTCGAGTCTCATAACAAAGGGTCTGAATACTTATGTAAATAAGATATTTCTGTTTTTCGCTTCGTCATAATGGGATATTGTGTGTAGATTGATGAGGGACAAAAATATTTAATCCATTTTAGAATAAGGCCGTAACGTAGCAAAATGTGAAAAAGGGAAGGGGTCTGAATACTTTACGAATGCACTGTATATGTAACCTGTTTTAATGTTAAGGTATAACTCCCCTGAAGGGTAACGTCCCGTGCAGAGAAAGTATCCATGTGTTCTACCAGAAGCAGATGAATCAACGACAACATATTGAATAACCTATATGTAACCTATATTAATGTATAACTCCCCTGCAGGGTAACGTCCCGTCCAGAGAAAGTATCCATGTGTTCTACCAGAAGCAGATGAATCAACGACAACATATTGAATAACCTATATGTAACCTATATTAATGTATAACTCCCCTGCAGGGTAACGTCCCGTCCAGAGAAAGTATCCATGCGTTCTACCAGAAGCAGATGAATATGAACACGTCGCGGGGGTCCAGTCTGGACTGGCTCAGTGAGGGGGGGTCTCACAGGGTCCGGAGAAGGAGAGACGGCTATCGCATGGAGAGCCAGGACTCCATTGCATCTATGGCCTCCAGGGATAGTATATCCAGGTAAGTGTATGGTATGTCAACTATACCTGCATGATGAATATCTCCCAGAGACAGCGTATCTTCCAGAGACAGCGTATCTCCCAGAGACAGCGTATCTCCCAGAGACAGCGTATCTTCCAGAGACAGCGTATCTTCCAGAGACAGCGTATCTTCCAGAGACAGCGTATCTTCCAGAGACAGCATATCTTCCAGAGACAGCATATCTATTAGAATCCCTGGAGCGGCAGGTAGCTTAGTGGTTAAGAGCGTTGTGCCAGTAACCGAAAGGTCGCTGGTTCTAATCCCCGAGCCGACTAGGTGAAAAATCTGTCGATGTGCCCTTGAGCAAGGCACTTAACCCTAATTGCTCCTGTAAGTCGCTCTGGATAAGAGCGTATGCTAAATGACGTAAAATGTAAAAAAATGAATCCTATGTGAAAGGAGTATTACAATACAACGCTGACAAAAAGTATTTGCCCCCTTTCTGATTTTCTCTATTTTTGATACCGAACGTTATCAGATCTTCAACCAAAACCTAATATTAGATAAAGGGAACCTGAGTTTACAAAAGAATAAAAATAATGATACTTATATATTTATTTAATTAACACAGTTATGCAAAGTTATGCAACACCCAATGCCCCTGTGTGAAAAAGTAATTGCCCCCTTACACTCAATAACTGGTTGTGCCACCTTTAGCTGCAATGACTGCAACCAAATGCTTCCTGTAGTTGTTGATCAGTCTCTCACGTCGCTGTGGAGGAATTTTGGCCCACTCTTGCATACAGAACTGCTTTAACTCAACAACATTTGTGGGTTTTCAAGCATGAGCTGCTCGTTTCAAGTCTTTGCCACAACATCTTGACCGTTGGTATGAGGTTCTTAATGTGGAATGACGCTCGTATTCCAAGCTCTTTTGACTCGTTTTGAGTTTTGGTTCACTAAAGTCTATTGGACTAAGTTCCTGCGTCCTGCGCTTGATTCCTGCACCACACCTTCACAGCACACCTTCTGACAGCCAGACATAAATGGGACACATCTCATCCAAAAAGTTGACTCAAGTTTGCGTAAAAAGAACCTGGAAGCACTTGCATGATCATCAAGACTTGGAAGAATGTTCTATGGACAGATGAGTCAAATGTATAACTTTTTGGACGACATGGGTCCCATTATGACTGGCGAAAACCAAACTCTGCATTCCACAGTAAGAACATCATACCAAAGGTCAAGCATGGTGGTGGTGGTGTGATGGTTTGGGGTTGCTTTGCTGCCTCAGGACCTGGACGACTTGCCTTAATAGAAGGAACCATGAATTCTGCTCTGTATCAGAGAATTCTACAGGAGAATGTCAGACCATCCGTCTGTGAGCTGAAGCTGAAGCACAGCTGGGTCATGCAGCAAGACAATGATCCAAAACACACAATCAAGTCTACATGAAAATTGCTAAAAAGCAACAAATTGGACGTTTTGGAATGGCCTAGTCAAAGTCCAGACCTAATCCCAATTGAGATGTTGTGGCAGGACTTGAAACGAGCAGTTCATGCTTGAAAACCCACAAATGTCGCTGAGTTAAAGCAGTTCTGCATGGAAGAGTGGGCCAAAATTCCTCCACAGTGACGTGAGAGACTAATCAACAACTACAGGAAGCGTTTGGTTGGAGTCATTTCAGCTAAAGGTGGCACAACCAGTTATTGAATGTAATGGGGCAATTACTTTTTCACACAGGGGAATTGGGTGTTGCATAACTTTGTTTATGAAATAAATTAAATAAGTATGTAATTGTTGTGTTATTTGTTCACTCAGGTTCCGTTTATCTAATATTAGGTTTTGGTTGAAGATTTAGTATAAAAAAATATGCGAAAGTAGAGAAATTTAGAAAAGGGGGCAAATACTTTTTTCACAGCACCGTATCTTCCGGAGACCGAGCAGAGTGCTTGAGATATCCTATTATTACCTTCCATATGTTCAGTATCTTCAGCAGGGAGGATACAGGCTGAGGGATGAGGAATCGCATTCTACATTCTGCCATTACCTCCCCACTAACTTCACCATTTGGAAACCTCCACTTCGTTAGCTGTGCCATGTGGAAGCCATGTTGTAACCATGATGTCATTCCACTCCTTTATTTCCCATGTCTCCATCTCTCTATCCCATCAGTGCCTACACTGAGGCCACCATGCTGTTCTCCCGCCAAGACACGCTGGACGAGCTGGACGGAATGCCGTCAGACGTTCCCATTCCCAAAACCAGCGATCGTGCCCGGCCCAAACTCCATAAGATTTACGGCCTGGACGCCTCCAAGTCGACTGACAGCAGCAGCAGCCAAGTGTCCAGGTGCCAGGTCCAAGCCAAAAACCTCCTCTTCCTCCTCCTCTTCCTCCTCTTCCTCCTCTTCCTCTTCCTCTTCCTCCTCCTCTTCCTCCTCTTCCTCCTCATCTTCCTCTTCCTCCTCCTCTTCCTCCTCCTCCTCTTCTTCCTCCTCCTCCTCTTCCTCATCATCTTCCTCCTCTTCCTCCTCTTCCTCCTCTTCCTCCTCTTCCTCCTCCTCCTCCTCTTCCTCCTCCTACTCCCCTTCCTCCTCCTCCTCTTCCTCCTCCTCCTCCTCTTCCTCCCCTCGAACCCATTTTGTGTTTATGTGTTGCTTATTATAACTTATCATCATTACATGTGGTTTGTCAGTCATCTTTATAAACGTTGTTTCTGTTCCTCAAACTTCACAAACTACTGTCAATATACATTTTGGGATTAATAGGACTATTTATGCCCTTCACATTGAATGAGATCAATGTCAGATTGTCAGTCATGCTTGTCAGTCATGCTTGCTGTTCTCTCAACCAAAGTTTGAAACTACACAATGATACATTGGGCTGTTGAGTGAGTGTCACCCAATTACTCTCAACTTTGTGAATACAGTACTGAGCATCGACAGTAACCAGTATCTTTGTGAATACAGTACAGAGCATCGACAGTAACCAGTAACTTTGTGAATACTTAGTGTTTGTCTGTCTGTTGTTTGTCTGTCTGTCTGTCCCCCACAGCGAGGCGACTCAGTGCATCACTCTCTACTCACGGCAGGGCACCACTGACACCATCGAGGAGGTGGAGGACGAACAGGACCAGGGGGAGGACAGGCAGCACGGACCCTGGGGACCCCCACATCCGGAGGCAGAGGGGGCTGAGGGTACACCCTGGTGGAGGGGTGGTGGAGAGACCACGGAGGAGGAGAGGGACCAGGGCCAGGGGGATCCATGGGGGTCTCCAGGCCCAGGGGAGGGCCCCTCCTTCAGGGTAGACGGTCCAACCTCGACACTCCTGGCCCTTCCACCAGGGTCCCAGGACTGTACCACTGACAGTGACGATGGGGGTGTCCGGCAGGAGTACCTGAACACAGAGGAATGGGACTGGGCGGGTCAGCTGTACACCCCAAACACCTCGGACGCCCCAAACACCTCGGACGCCCCAAACACCTCGGACGCTGACGTGTCTCCCAGCTACAGCAAGGTTGGTTGTCTATGTCCCTTGTCACACTGAGCCGGGTTCCGACTTTTTCCTGGCCACTGCTTTCACTTCTGCTTTGCTTGCTTTTTGGGGTCGGGCCGGGTTACTGCAAAGCACTTTGTGACAACTGCTGATGTTAAAACGGCTTTTATAAAAAATACATTTGATTGATTGATTTATAATTTGATTGCTCACACAGCAGCACTTGGTGATTTGTAGTATAATGAAAAGTGTAAACTAAATATATTATTATTATTATTTTGTTATTAAGGCGGTGAGCTTCGACCGTCTGGAGGTGACTGATGATGATGATGATGATGAGAGGATGATGGTGATGACCCCTGACACCAGCCGGTCAGACTATATGGACGATCCCCTGCTGCCCTCACTGACCTCTGAGCTCACCGCCAGCGAGCTGCTGCTCAACAAGTAAGTGGATAAGACACTGTCTATTCTAGATAAAATAGAACTCGTCTATACAGTGGAATTGAGTACAATAGGACAGTACTTGCCAACCATTTTTTGAACTGTGGCACACCTTGATTTGGTTAAAACATTTTGCAGCACATCTAAAATGTCCCTATTTATTAATTTAGTGGTAATGACTTCCATCTCATCTGATCCATACTGCAAATCATCTATTTTCTGTGACAAAGATTTAATGGGGTTTATTTGAACTATTGTCATAGTTCCTTACTCATAATGACTCATTTCCACTTTAAGAGCCTCCCACAAATCTGCACAAAAAAAATACACAACGTGGCCAAAAGTATGTGGACACCGGTTCGTCAAACATCTAATTCCGAAATCATGGGCATTAATATGGAATTTGTCCCCCCTTTGCTGCTATAACAGCCTCCACTCTTCTGGGAAGGCTTTCCACTAGATGTTGGAACATTGCTGCGGGGACTTGCTTCCATTCAGCCACAAGAGCATTAGTGAGGTCGGACACTGATGTTGGGCGATTAGGCCTGGCTCGCAGTCGGCGTTCCAATTCATCCCAAAGGTGTTCGATGGGGTTGAGGTCAGGGCTCTGTGCAGGCCAGTCAAGTTCTTCCACACCTATCTCGACAAACCATTTCTGTATGAACCTCGCTTTGTGCACAGGGGCATTGTCATTCTGAAACAGGAAAGGGCCTTCCCCAAACTGTTGCCACAAAGTTGGAAGCACAGAATCATCTAGAATGTCATTGTATGCTGTAGCGTTAAGATTTCCCTTCACTGGAACTAAGGGGCCTAGCCCGAACCATGAAAAACAGCCCCAGACCATTATTCCTCCTCCATCAAACTTTACAGTTGGCACTATGCATTGGGGCAGGTAGAGTTCTCCTGGCATCTGCCAAACCCAGATTTGACCGTCGGACTGCCAGATGATGAATCGTGATTCATCACTCCAGAGAACACGTTTCCACTGCTCCAGAGTCCAATGGCGGCAAGCTTTATACCACTCCAGCCAAAGCTTGGCATTGCTTGTGTGCGGCTGCTCGGCCATGGAAACCCATTTCATGAAGCTCCCGACGAGCAGTTCCTGTGCTGACGTTGCTTCCAGAGGCAGTTTGGAACTCGGTAGTGAGTGTTGCAACCGAGGACAGACGATTTTTACGCACTACACGCTTCAGCTTGAAAGACACTGAGCTCTTCAGTAAGGCCATTCTACTGCCAATGTTTGTCTATGGAGATTGCATGGCTGTGTGCTCGATTTTATACACCTGTCAGCATGGGTGTAGCTGAAATTGCCGAATCCACTCATTTGAAGGGGTGTCCACATACTTTAGTGTATTTTTTTTATAGCTCTGGTAATATAGGTCTTTCATTTTGAACAGTTTGGGCTAGAGACGAGTGGTTTTCTGCATTTTAAACATGTAACCACAGACACAAACCTCCGTTTGTTTCTATAGCAGAGGCTGTGGTCCAGCTAAGCCTCATCAGACTTGCTTGTGCTAACAGTTCTCACAGGGGAAGTGAAATGATACTAATTACTTTGCTTGTGTTGCGCGCTCCTCAAATGATACTAATTATTTTGCTTGTGTTGCGCGCTCCTCAAATGATACTAATTATTTTTGCTTGTGTTGCGCGCTCCTCAAATGATACTAATTATTTTGCTTGTGTTGCGCGCTCCTCAAATGATACTAATTATTTTGCTTGTGATGCGCGCTCCTCAAATGATACTAATTATTTTGCTTGTGTTGCGCGCTCCTCAAATGATACTAATTATTTTGCTTGTGTTGCGCGCTCCTCAAATGATACTAATTATTTTGCTTTTGTTGCGCGCTCCTCAAATGATACTAATTATTTTGCTTGTGATGCGCGCTCCTGAAATGATACTAATTATTTTGCTTGTGTTGCGCGCTCCTCAAATGATACTAATTACTTTGCTTGTGTTGCGCGCTCCTCAAATGATACTAATTATTTTGCTTGTGTTGCGCGCTCCTCAAATGATACTAATTACTTTGCTTGTGTTGCGCGCTCCTCAAATGATACTAATTATTTTGCTTGTGTTGCGCGCTCCTCAAATGATACTAACGTAACAACGGTCTGAGCACACTGGACTGTTTAACAACCACACAGACGGAACCATGTGGCATTTTAATGTTTTATCTGACCACCACTAGTGCTCCCAAGTCAACAGTCCATGTGCATTCCACAGGGTCACATTTTATAAGTGAGTGTTCATTATTTTTTTTATTTTTTTTTCAAGATTAGGAAAGGTTTTGCGGCCTGAGACTTTCCTCAAAGCACAACAGTGTGCTGCGACACCGCGGTTGAAAACCACCGCTATAGAGGATGGTGGAACACATGACTACCTGAAATTATGCTTCATTTGTTATCAAATTTAATTCAATTACTTCCTACGCAAAACCTTAGGGTCCATGATTCTAATGGGAAACATTCACACCTCCATCCTAGCTTGGTCGCCGGATCTTTTAACTCTTTAGCTAATATCCCCCGCCCCCCCCCCCCACCCCCCTCCATCAGGATGTTCCATAATGAGGAGTTGGAGCGGTCCGACCGGTTCTACGCGGGCCAGCCACTGGCGTTCCAGTTGGTCTACGCCCTGTACAACATGCTGGTGGCCCACTCTGAGATGGTGTGTTACCTGGTCATCATCCTCAACAACATGCATTCAGCCTCCTGCATCACCCTGGTCCTCCCCATCCTCATCTTCCTCTGGGCCATGCTGTCGGTGCCCAGACCCAGTAAGAGGTTCTGGATGACCGCCATCGTTTACACCGAGGTAACGGAGCACTGCGTCCCAAACAGTACCCTATTCTCTAGTTAGTGCACTACTTTTAGCCAGGGCGCATAGGGCTCTGGTCAAAAGTAGTGCACTATATAAGGACTAGGGTGCCATTCTCTGGTCTAAAGTAGTGCACTATATAGGGAATAGGGTGCCATTCTCTGGTCTAAAGTAGTGCACTATATAAGGGACTAGGGTGCCATTCTCTGGTCTAAAGTAGTGCACTATATAAGGACTAGGGTGCCATTCTCTGGTCTAAAGTAGTGCACTATATAGGGAATAGGGTGCCATTCTCTGGTCTAAAGTAGTGCACTATATAGGGAATAGGGTGCCATTCTCTGGTCTAAAGTAGTGCACTATATAAGGACTAGGGTGCCATTCTCTGGTCTAAAGTAGTGCACTATATAGGGAATAGGGTGCCATTCTCTGGTCTAAAGTAGTGCACTATATAGGGAATAGGGTACCATTTGGGACTCAGGCTAGATAATAATGTATATTGCTATACGCTACACAGAGCTACTGCCCAGTAAACACATGACACTGCTATAGTCTGTGACAGACAGGTCCCACGGCCGAGCTAGAGGTTTTGAAAGACCGCCATTGTACACTGGCGTATGGGATGGCATTATCTTAATATAATTTACATGCAGGTACTTTCTATGATAGTTTACTTTACAATTCTTTAGTTGAATATGTATTGTCTGTGCACCGTGTTAATCCTGTCTATGACCCTACACAATGAGTGTCTCTAAGTTAACAAAACGATCATGATACTCATCTCTAAGGATGCCCCTGAAGAGAAATACAATATTTGTGGTGACTATTTACATTTTACATTTTAGTCATTCAGCAGACGCTCTTATTCAGAGCGATTTACAGTTATTGCATTAATCTGAAGAACAGTCAGTCATTCATCTGAAGAACAGTCAGTTCATTCATCTGAAGAACAGTCAGTCATTCATCTGAAGAACAGTCAGTTCATTCATTTGAAGAACAGTCAGTCATTCATCTGAAGAACAGTCAGTTCATTCATCTGAAGAACAGTCAGTCATTAATCTGAAGAACAGTCAGTCATTAATCTGAAGAACAGTCAGTCAGTAATCTGAAGAACAGTCAGTCATTAATCTGAAGAACAGTCAGTCAGTAATCTGAAGAACAGTCAGTCATTAATCTGAAGAACAGTCAGTCAGTAATCTGAAGAACAGTCAGTCAGTAATCTGAAGAACAGTCAGTCAGTAATCTGAAGAACAGTCAGTTCATTCATCTGAAGAACAGTCAGTCATTAATCTGAAGAACAGTCAGTCAGTAATCTGAAGAACAGTCAGTTCATTCATCTGAAGAACAGTCAGTTCATTCATCTGAAGAACAGTCAGTTCATTCATCTGAAGAACAGTCAGTTCATTCATCTGAAGAACAGTCAGTCATTAATCTGAAGAACAGTCAGTTCATTTATCTGAAGAACAGTCAGTCAGTAATCTGAAGAACAGTCAGTCCATTCATCTGAAGAACAGTCAGTTCATTCATCTGAAGAACAGTCAGTTCATTCATCTGAAGAACAGTCAGTTCATTAATCTGAAGAACAGTCAGTCATTAATCTGAAGAACAGTCAGTCAGTAATCTGAAGAACAGTCAGTCAGTAATCTGAGAACAGTCCATCTGAAGAACAGTCAGTTCATTCATCTGAAGAACAGTCAGTTCATTCATCTGAAGAACAGTCAGTTCATTCATCTGAAGAACAGTCAGTTCATTCATCTGAAGAACAGTCAGTTCATCATCTGAAGAACAGTCAGTTCATTCATCTGAAGAACAGTCAGTCATTCATCTGAAGAACAGTCAGTCAGTAATCTGAAGAACAGTCAGTGATTAATCTGAAGAACAGTCAGTCATTCATCTGAAGAACAGTCAGTTCATTCATCTGAAGAACAGTGAGTTCATTCATCTGAAGAACAGTCAGTTCATTCATCTGAAGAACAGTCAGTCATTCATCTGAAGAACAGTCAGTTCATTTATCTGAAGAAGAGTCAGTCAGTAATCTGAAGAACAGTCAGTCCATTCATCTGAAGAACATTCAGTTCATTCATCTGAAGAACAGTCAGTTCATTCATCTGAAGAACAGTCAGTTCATCATCTGAAGAACAGTCAGTCATTCATCTGAAGAACAGTCAGTCAGTAATCTGAAGAACAGTCAGTGATTAATCTGAAGAACAGTCAGTTCATTCATCTGAAGAACAGTCAGTCAGTAATCTGAAGAACAGTCAGTCAGTAATCTGAAGAACAGTCAGTCATTCATCTGAAGAACAGTCAGTCAGTAATCTGAAGAACAGTCAGTGATTAATCTGAAGAACAGTCAGTGATTACTCTGAAGAACAGTCAGTGATTAATCTGAAGAACAGTCAGTTCATTCATCTGAAGCGTTTTCTCTTATTTGTACCTTTATTTAACTAGGCAAGTCAATTAAGAACAAATTCTTATTTACAATAACGGCCTACCAAGAGGCAAAAGGCCTTTTGCGGGGACGGGGGCTGGGATAAAAATTTTTTTTTTTGGGTCAAAACACGCATCACGACAAGAGAGACACCACAACACTACATAAAGAGAGACCTAAGACAACATCACAGCATGGTAGCAACACATGACAACACAGCATGGTAGCAACACAACATGACAACAACACGGTAGCAACACAACATGGTAGCAGCACAAACATGGTACAGACATTGTTAGGCACAGACAACAGACATGAATGGCAAAGAGACAACGATACGTCACGCGAAGCAGCCACAAGTTTCAGTAAGAGAGTCCATGATTGAGTCTATGAATGTAGAGATGGAGATCAAACTGTCCTGTGTTTTTTGCAGCTCCTTCCAGTTCGCCAGCTGCAGCGAACTGAAAAGAGGAGCGACCCAGGGTTGTGTGTGCTTTGGGGACCTTTAACAGAATGTGACTGGCAGAACGGGTGTTGTATGTGGAGGATGAGGGCTGCAGTAGGTATCTCAGATAGGGGGGAGTGAGGCCTAAGAGGGTTTTATGAATAAACATCAACCAGTGGGTCTTGCGTCGGGTGTACAGAGATGACCAGTTTACAGAGGAGTTTAGAGTTCAGTGATGTGTCCTATAAGGAGAATTGGTGGCAAATCTGATGGCCGAAAGGTAAAGAATATTTAGCCGCTCGAGAGTCTCCGTAATCTAGCATGGGTAGGATGGTCATCTGAATCAGGGTTAGTTTGGCAGCTGGGGTGCTCTCCTTACGGAACCATATGACCTTTGTTTTGGAGGTGTTCAGAACAAGGGTTAAGGGCAGAGAAAGCTTGTTGGACACTAAGAAAGCTTTGTTGTAGAGCGTTCAACACGAAATCCGGGGAGGGGCCAGCTGAGTATAAGACTGTATCATCTGCATATAAATGGATGAGAGAGCTTCCTACTGCCTGAGCTATGTTGTGATGTAAATAGAGAAGAGCGTGGGGCCTAGGATGGAGCCTTGGGGTACTCCCTTGGTGACAGGCAGTGGCTGAGACAGCAGATGTTCTGACTTTATACACTGCACTCTTTGAGAGAGGTAGTTAGCAAACCAGGCCAAAGACCCCTCAGAGACACCAATACTCCTTAGTCGACCCACAAGAATGGAATGGTCTGCCGTATCAAAGGCTTAAAAATAGCAGCACAACATTGCTTAGAATCAAGGGCAGTGGTAACATAATTTAGTACCTTTAAAGTTGCAGTGACACAACCACATATCTCAGTCATAGTAAGTACATTTTTCCTCAATAAAGTAGCTATCGGCAAAGTCAGAGCTAGTAAGGGGGGAAAAAGTCAAGTGCGAGTGTTAGTTCACAAAAGGCTTTCTTTGGGTGGGGTGGGGGGGTTGCTGTGGGATTATTTAAGATACTCTTTGAAGAGGTAGGATTTCAGATGTTTTCGGAAGATGGGCAGGGACTCTGCTGTCCTAGCTTCAGGGGGAAGCTGGTTCCACAATTGGGGTGCCAGGACAGAGAAGAGCTTGGACTGGGCTGAGCAGAGCAGGACCTGCCCTCCCGTAGGGGTGGGTGGGCCAAGATACCAGAGGTCGTAGAACAGAGTACTCAAGTTAGGGTGTAGGGTTTGAGCAGAGCCTGAAGGTAAGGAGGGGCGGTTCCTCTTGCTGCTCCGTAGGTAAGTACCATGGTTTTGTAGTGGATGCGAGCTTCGGCTGGAAGCCAGTGGAGTGTGTGGAGGAGTGGGGTGACATGGGAGAACTTGGGAAGGTCGAACACCAGGCGGGCTGCAGTGTTCTGGATAAGTTGCAGGGGTTTGAAGGCACAAGCGAGGAGCCCAGTTCATCAGAGAGTTACAGTAGTCCAGACGGGAGAGGACAAGTGCCTGGATTAGGACCTGCGCCGCTTCCTGTGTGAGGTAGGGTCGTACTCTACAGATGTTGTAGAGCATGAACCTGCGGGAGCGGGTCACTGCTTTGATGTTTGCAGAGAACGACAGGGTGTTGTCCAGGATCTCCCCAAGGTTCTTTGCACTCTGGGAGGGGGACACCGTGGAGTTGTCAACCGTGATGGAAAGGTCTTGAAGAGGGCAGGCCTTCCCCGGGAGGAAGAGCAGTTCCGTCTTGTCGAGGTTGAGCATGAGGTGCTGGGCTGACATCCAAGCTGAGATATCTGCCAGGCACGCAGAGATGCGTGTCGCAACCTAGGTGTCAGAAGGGGGGAAGGAGAAAGGTAGTTGAGTGTCGTCCGCATAGCAATGATAGGAGAGACCATGTGATGATATGACAGAGCTGAGTGACTTGGTGTATAGAGAGAAGAGGAGAGGGTCTAGAACCGAGCCCTGGGGGACACCAGTAGTGAGAGTATGTGGTGCAGACACAGATCCTCTCCACGTCACCTGGTAGGATGCAATCCAAAAGTGCACAGAACCTGAGACGCCCAGCCCTGAGAGGGTGGAGAGGAGGATCTGATGGTTCACGGTGTCGAAGGCAGCGGATAGATCTAGGAGGATGAGGACAAAGGAGAGCGAATCAGCTTTGGCAGTGAGGAGAGCCTCAGTGACACAGAGAAGAGCAGTCTCGGTTGAGTGACCCATCTTGAAGCCTGACTGGTTAGGCTCAAGAAGATCGTTCTGAGAGAGATAGCAAGAGAGTGTTGGTCATGTGTGTTATGGAAAGAAAAGAAATAAGCGATACCGGTCTGTAGATTTTGACATCAGATGGTCGTGGTCAGGAATAAGGGAAGTGAGGAATAGAAGGTCTCCAGAGATGGTCTGAAGAAGGGAGGAGGGGATGGTGTCCAGCGGGCAGGTTGTCGGACGGCCAGACCTCACTAGTCGCAGGATGTCATCTGGAGAGAGAGGGGAGAAAGAGGTCAAGGCGTAGGGTAGTTCTGTGTGAGCGAGACCAGTGGACTCAATAGGCTGAGTGAATGAGGAGCGGATGTCGTCAACCAATTTTTCAAAGTGGTTGACAAAGTCGTCCACAGAGAGGGGGGGGGGGGGGGGGGGGGGATTAAGGAGGGAGGAGAATGTGGATAATAGTTTTCTAGGGTTAGGGGCAGAAGCTTGAAATTTAGAGTGATAGAAAGTGGCTTTAGCAGCAGATACAGAGGAAGAGAAGGTTGTTATGTGAATTTCTATCTCTAATTCAACCTAAGCTTGAATCATTACCAGAGGTTGTAAGGCTCTGGTTTTAATCATCAATGATTCAAGGTCCACAACCCACAAGGATTATCTCTATTTTTATTCATGGAGAGCTCTGGCGCTAAAAACACATACATTACTGTTTTATACCTCCTGACAAACAAAGGTACTTTGCTCCTCCCACCTTTAGGTGGCTTTTCTAAACAGTTTCCGCCTTCCCCTTCACCCTTGAATGTTTAGTACCGCCCCCTCTGTTAGTGGGTTGACACTACATGATAATTCTAACATTTATACTGTATTTGGGGTGAAATCCTTTAGTCATTATTCTTAAAATGCAAATTAATCTAACAAAGGTAGAGAGGAGGGAGTGAAAGTCCTCCAGAAAGTTTAGTTTTCCTCTATTTTTGCTCAGTTGCCCACAGCCCTGTTCTGAAAGCTCGCACGGTACAGGGGGGGAGGGCCGAGCCGCCCGGGAGGAAAGGGGACAGTGAATGTCATAGGATGCAGAAAGGGAGGATAGTAGGGTCGAAAGAGGCAGAATCAGGAGACAGGAGGGAGAAGGATTTAGCAGAAGGGAGAGATGATAGGATAGAAGAGGAGAGAGTAGTGGCGCATGACCATCTGGGTAGGGGCTCAGTGGTTAGGGTTGGAGCAGTGGGAGACAGAAAAGGAAACAAAGTAGTGATCAGAGACCTGGAGGGGGGTTGCAGTGAGATTAGTAGGCAAACAGCCTCTAGTAAAGATGAGGTCAAGCGTATCGCCTGCCTTGTGAGTGGGAAAGGGTGTGGTCAAAAGAGTCAAGGAGGGGAAAGAAAGAGTTGGAAAGAAATTAGTCGAAGGCAGACTTTGGGAGGTTGAAGTCGCCCAGTACGAAGAGGGGTGAGCCATCGTCAGAAAATTTGCTTATAAAGGTGTCAAGCTCAATGAGGTACTCTCTAAGGGCACCTGGTGGGCATTAGATGACAACAATGTTAAGCTTGAGTGGACAAGTGACAGTGACAGCATGGAATTCAAATGAGGAGATGAACAGGTGAGAGATGGAGAAAATAGAACATCTCCACTTAGGAGAAATGAGCAGCCCTGTGCCACCACCACGACGACCAGATGCTCTCGGACTATGAGAGAAAACATAGTCAGATGAAGAAAGAGCCGCTGGAGTAGCAGTGCTCTCTGGGGTGATCCATGTCTCCGTCAGGGACAAAAAGTCAAGGGACTGAAGGGCAGCACAGGCTGAGATGAACTCGCCGTTCTAGACCGCAGATCAGCAGTTCCGAACGCTGCCGGAGACCCGGAATTCCACATACAGCGCCTTCAGAAAGTATTCATACCCCTTGACTTATTCCATATTTTGTGTTACAGCCTTAATTTAAAATGGATCAAATATATTTTTTTCTCTCTCACCCATCTACACACAATACCCCAAAATGACAAAGTGAAAACATGTTTTTGGAACTTTTTGCTAATAAAAAATGAAATACAGAAATACACAATATAGAGTCGTGTATTGCTGTACATTGTGTCCTACTAGAACTTTCTGAAAATTGTGTGCACAGTCTAAATTTGAAGGGTTGCAGCCAAGAGGAGCGTCAAGAGGCCTACAGGGAGATGTGGATGGGATGGAAAACACACAGAGCCAAATTAGATCTCAGAGTGTGCAAAGCTGTCATCAAGGCAAAGGGTGGCTATTTGAAGAATCTCAAATATACAATATATTTTGATTTGTTTAACACTTTTTGGGGGGGGTTACTACATGATTCCATATGTGTTATTTCACAGTTTTGATGTCTTCACTATTATTCTACAATGTAGAAAATAGTAAAAATAAAGAAAAACCCTGGAATGAGTAGGTGTTCTAAAACCTTTGACTGGTAGTATATATGTAGGTATAGTTAAAGTGACTATGCATAGATAATAAACAGAGAGTAGCAGCAGCGTAAAAGAGGAGGTGGGGGGGGTGGGGGGGGGGGGACAATGCAAATAGTCTGGGTAGCCATTTGAATAGCTGTTCAGGAGTCTTATGGCTTGGGGGGTAGAAGCTGTTAAGAAGCCTTTTGGTCCTAGACTTGGCGCTCCGGTACCGCTTGCCGTGCGGTAGCAGAGAGAACACTCTATGACTAGGTTGGCTGGAGTCTTTGACAATTTGTAGGGCCTTCCTCTGACACCGCCTGGTATAGAGATCCTTCCTCTGACACCGCCTGGTATAGAGATCCTTCCTCTGACACCGCCTGGTATAGAGGTCCTTCCTCTGACACCGCCTGGTATAGAGATCCTTCCTCTGATATAACCAATAGGCTAAATGTAGGTACATTTAGCTGGGGGGGGCAATGAGGAGATTCTGGATCTTTCCCTCACGGTCCAGTGTAGCTCAGTTGGTAGAGCATGGCGTTTGCAACAGCAGGGTTGTGGGTTCAATTCCCACAGGGGGCCAGTATGAAAAAACAACAACACATTATGCACTCACTAACTGTAAGTCGCTCTGGATAAGAGGGTCTGCTAAATGACTAAAATGTGAAATGGGGACGTGGGAGTGGCGTTGCCATGGCGTTTCAATTGTTTTAGTGAAATTCAATGGATCTATAATATTGTTGGGTTTCATGTCTTCTCTCATCTAGGTCGCCATCGTCATCAAGTACGTCTGCCAGTTTGGCTTCATTCCCTTCAACCAGAACCTAAAGGTGGATGGGAATAAACCCTACCACCCTCCCAACATCATCGGAGTGGAGAAGAAAGATGGATACCTCGTCTACGACCTCATACAGCTTCTAGCGCTCTTCTTCCACAGGTCCATCCTGAAGGTAGATATGCGATCGGTGCCTAAAGCGTCTCAGAGAAGGAGCGCTGATCTAGGACCAGTTTTAACTTGTTGAACCATAATGAAGAAGATCAAATGGAGCGTATTGTACCAGTGTTCATACTGAACTGGGATCAAGATCACTATGATAGAACTGATTTGTTATTATCAAGTTATTACTGACAGCTCTTGGTCTCAGATCGTAATACAATGTGATCGATTGTTTTGTCTCATGCTCCATTGGTACCCCTACCTCTCCTCTACACTCTCCCGTCGTAGTGTCATGGCCTCTGGGACGAAGACAACCTTAAGGACACCCTCCGCCAGGACAGTGAGTCGAAGGAAGACGAGAGGACGGAGAAGGAGAGAGAGGCCACTCCCGTCCCCTCCACCCACCGCGAGAGGAAGGGCTCCACCCAGACCCCCGGGTCTATAAACCTGGGCACGGGCACCTCCATGGACTACCTCCAGCAGCAGACCTACCAGAGAAGGGAGAGCTCCAGTGGAGGGTCTCATAACTCCCACCGCTCGAGCCACTCTCTACGCTCCAAGAGAGGTAAGGACACTTACTTTACTAGTAACTATAATTTACTTTACTTGGCTATTTTATATTTACATTTTAGTGATTTAGCAGACGCTCTTATCCAGAGCGACTTACAGTAGTGAGTGCGTACGTTTTCATATTTGTTCGTACTGGTCCCCCCGTGGGAATCAAACCCACAACCCTGGCGTTGCAAGTGCCATGCTCTACCAACTGAGCCACACGGGAACATACTGTACTGTACTTGGCTACTTACTTAACTTGTCTACTTACTGTACTTTACTTGGCTACTTAGTGTACTTTGCTTGGCTACTTAGTGTACTTTGCTTTAATTTGGCTACTTACTGTACTTTACTTGGCTACTTATTTTACTTGTCTACCCACTGTACTTTACTTGGCTACTTATTTTACTTGGCTACTTCCTGTACTTTACTTGGCTACTTATTTTACTTGGCTACTTACTGTACTTTACTTGGCTACTTATTTTACTTAGCAAATTAGCCACTTTACTTTACTTTACTTGACTTTACAATAGGGTTAGGGCCTCACTCAATACATTTAGAGATGTAACCTCATTACATCTAGCCTTTAGCTCGTTGACATGCGTTGCCATGGTTTCTCCAGGAAGCACTAACTCCAGGAACAGTAGCCGTGGAGACGGGAGTGAGGTGTCAGTGCAGCAGAAGACTAAGAAACAGCTGATCATGGAGAAACTCAGAGAACAGATGATCAAAGCCAAGACCTTCACTATCAAAAGGTGGGCTTGGTTGACTGATTGATTGAGTGGTTGATTGATTGGTTGATTTATTGATTTATTGATTTATTAAATGGCTCTTTGTCATAAAATAACCTAACATAATATTCTCCTACATTTGTTTTGTGTTCTCTCCAGGACCATGAAGGTCTACCTCCCTGTCCGTCGGTTCTTCTCCAACCTGGTCCACCCAGAGCACAGCGCTGTGATAGACGTCTATGTCCTCATGTTCCTGGCCGACACCGCCGACTTCATCATCATCGTCTTTGGGTTTTCTGCTTTTGGGGTATGTCTTTACATTTGACATCATCTTATTATCCTGTCAGAAACAGTCAGCAGGGTCCTGTGTGGCTCAGTTGGTAACCATGTGGTCTTCGCAACACCAGAGTTATGGGTTCAATTCCCACATGGATCACATATTTAAAAATGTGGCATCAATTATTTCTTCTTCTTCTCAGAAACACTCAGCGGGAGCCGACATCACGTCGTCTCTGTCGGAGGACCAGGTTCCCGGAGCCTTCCTGGTGATGGTGCTGATCCAGTTTGGGACCATGGTGGTGGACCGGGCCCTGTACCTCAAGAAGACAGTGCTGGGGAAGATCATCTTCCAGGTCGTCCTGGTGTTCGGAATTCACTTCTGGATGTTCTTCATCCTCCCCGGACTCTCTGAGAGGTAAATACTCACCTAGTGATGTCCATTTGTTCATTTGTTGATTCGTTAATTGGTTAATTAGTTATGGGATCCATTTCTGGATGTTCTTCATCCTGCCCAGACTTTCTGAGGTAACAACCCTGCCTAACACTTCCTATAAATACCCATGATGCATTATAACCACATGTATAATGCTTTATATGCTAATGTGTCATAATCTATTTCAGGATGTTCTTCATCCTGCCTGGAGTCAATGAGAAATATAATTCTCTCCTTTCTGTGTTAATTAGTTCATTCATCTGATATAAATTCATTTGATTGATTGAATTAGTTGATTTGTAAACATATCCAGTTTTTTTAGATCTGCATGAGTCCCTAGGGGGTAGGGGCTCGTGATCGATTAAGGATCTATCATTAGTAACTGTGTTTATCAATAGTAACCATGTTTAACAGGGTTTGTACCTCTGTCCACTTTGCAGGCGTTTCAATGAGAACACTGTAGCCAAGCTGTGTTACTTTATCAAGTGTATCTACTTTGGGCTGTCAGCCTATCAGATCCGCTGTGGCTACCCCACCAGAGTCCTGGGTAACTTCCTCACCAAGAGCTACGACTACGCCAACCTCTTCCTGTTTCAAGGGTGAGTTGGGACACGGTAGGGAGTAGTAGGACATTCAGCATACGGCGCATTCGGAAAGTATTCAGACCCCTTGACTTTTTCCACATTTCGTTACGTTACAGCCTTATTCTAAAATTAGTTAAATAAAAACATTTCCTCATCAATCTACACACAACACCCCATAATGACGAAGCGAAAACAGATTTTGATAACGTTTTGCAAATGTATAAAAAAACAAAAAACAGAAATACCTTATTTCCATAAGTATTCAGACCCTTTGCTATGAGACTCGAAATTGAGCTCAGGTGCATCCTGTTTCCATTGATCATCCTTGAAATGTTTCTACAACTTGATTGGATTCCACCTGTGGTAAATTCAATTGATTGGACATGATTTGGAAAGGCACACACTTGTCTATATAAGGTCCCACAGTTGACAGTACATGTCAGAGCAAATACCAAGCCATGAGGTCATAGGAATTGTCCGTAGAGCTCCGAGACAGGATTGTGTCGAGGCACAGATCTGGGGAAGGGTACAAAAAAATTCTGCAGCATTGAAGGTCCCCTAGAACACAGTGGCCTCCATCAATCTTAAATGGAAGAGCTGGCCGCCCGACCAAACGGAGTAATCCGGGGAGAAGGGCCTTGGTCAGGGAGGTGACCAAAAACCCGATGGTCACTCTGACAGAGCTCCAGAGTTCCTCTGTGGAGATGGGAGAACCTTCTAGAAGACAACCATCTCTGCAGCACACCACCAATCAGGCCTTTATGGTACACAAAAAAATAAATAATGTATGCACGCATGACTGTAAGTCGCTTTGGATAAAAGCGTCTGCTAAATGGCATATTATATTATTATTATTATATTATGGTAGAGTGGCCAGACGGAAGCCACTCCTCAGTAAAAGGCACATGACAGCCCGCTTGGAGTTTGCCAAAAGGCACCTAAAGACTCTCAGACCATGAGAAACAAGATTCTCTGGTCTGATGAAACCAAGATTGAACTCTTTGGCCTGAATGCCAAGCGTCACGTCTGGAGGAAACCTGGCACCATCCCTACGGTGAAGCATGGTGGTGGCAGCATCATGCTGTAGGGATGTTTTTCAGCGGCAGGGACTGGGAGACTAGTAAGGATCGATGGAAAGATGAACGGAGCAAAGTACAGAGATCCTTGATGAAAAGCTGCTCCAGAGCGCTCAGGACCTCAGGCTGGGGTGAAGGTTCACCTTCCAACAGGTCAACGACTTGAACCCGATCGAACATCTCTGGAGAGACCTGAAAATAGCTGTGCAGCGACGCTCCCCATCCAACCTGACAGAGCTTGAGAGGATCTGCAGAGAAGAATGGGAGAAACGCCCCAAATACAGGTGTGCCAAGCTTGTAGCGTCATACCAAAGACTCAAGGCTGTAATCGCTGCCAAAGGTGCTTCAACAAAGTACTGAGTAAAGGGTCTGAATACTGATGTAAATGTCATATTTAAGTTTTATATTTTTTATACATTTGCAAAAATGTATAAAAACCTGTTTTTGCTTTGTCATTATGGGTTATTGTGTATAGATTGATGAGGGGAAAAAAACAATTTAATCAATTTTAGAATAAGGCTGTAATGTAACGAAATTTGGAAAAAAATCAAGATGTCTGTGTTCAGTGTTGTAGTACTCGAGCCCAGGACTCGTAACTTGACTCGGACTCGACCATTAGTCACAAAGTCTCTCTCCCTTCCCATAATTCAACATGCCAGATATGAGAAATAGGTTTGAGTGTCCTAACCCAGTCCCCTCCAGGTTCCGTCTGATCCCGTTCCTGTCTGAGTTGCGTGCAGTGATGGACTGGGTCTGGACCGACACCTCCCTGTCCTTATCCTCCTGGATCTGTGTGGAAGACATCTACGCACACATCTTCGTCCTCAAGTGCTGGAGGGAGTCAGAGAGGGTTGGTTGTGTCCTCTGTTCATGTGTCTACCGAACGCTTCAGAAGAAAAGTATTCACACCCCTCGACTTTTCCCACATTCTGTTGTGTTACAGCCTGAATTTCAGATGGATTAAATTTAGATTTTATTGTCACTGGGCCTCCACACAATACTCCATAATGTCAGTGAAATTATGTTTATAGACATTTTTACAAATTAATTAAAAATGAAAAGCTGAAATGTCTTGAGTCAATAAGTATCAACCCCTTTGTTATGGCAAGATTAAATAAGTTCAGGAGTAAAAATGTGCTTAACAAGTCACATAATAAGTTGCATTGACTCATTCTGTGTGCAATAATATTGTTTTAACATGATTCTTTAATGACTACTTCATCTCTGTACCCCACACATACAATTATCTGTAAGGTCCCTCAGTCGAGCAGTGAATTTCAAACCACAAAGACCAGGGAGGTTTTCCAATGCCTCGCAAAGAAGGGCACCTATTGGTAGATGGGTAAAACAAAAAAAAGCAGACATTGAATATCCCTTTGTGCATTGTGACGTGATTAATTACACTTTGGATGATGTATCAATACACCCAGTCACTAAAAAGATACAGGTGTCCTTCCTAACTCAGATGCCAGAGAGGAAGGAGACCATGAGGCCAAATGGTGACTTTAAAACAGTTACAGAGTTTAATGGCTGTGATGGGAGAAAACTGAGGATGGATCAACAACATTGTAGTTACTCCCCAATACAGAGTGAACAGAAGGAAGCCTGTACAGAATATAAATATTCCAAAACATGCATCCTGTTTGCAACAAGACACTATAGTAATATTGCAAAAGAAATTGGCAAAGAAAATCACCTTTGTTTGGGTCAAATCCAATACAACACATTACTGAGTATCACACTCATGTTATGGTTATGCTTGTCATCATTAAGGAATGCAGAGTTTTTCAGGATAAAACATTAACGGAATGGAGCTAAGCTCAGGCAACATCCTAGAGGAGAACCTGGTTCAGTCTGCTTTCCACCAGACACTGGGAGATGAGTTCACCTTTCAGCAGGACAATAACCTAAAACACAAGGCCAAATCTACACTGGAGTTGCTTACCAAGAAGACAGTGAATGTTACTGAGTGGCCAAGTTACAGTTTTAATGATCAACAACCAATTTGACAGAGCTTGAAGAATTTTGAAAATAATAATGGGCAAATATTATGCCGTCCAGGTGTGGGAAGCTCTTAGAGACTTACCCAGAAAGACTCACAGCTGTAATCGCTGCCAAAGGTGCTTCTACAAAGTATTGACTCAGGGGTGTGAATATTTCTGCATTTCATTTTGTCATTATGGGGTATTGTGTGTAGATGGGTAACAGAAAAAAATTATTTTTGATCCATTTTGAAATCAGGCTGTAACACAACAAAATGTGAAATAAGTCAATGGGTATGAATACTTTCTGAAGGCCACTGGTACCCCCAGTCCATAACTATAGTCCTCCTCTCCCCTCCCCTCCAGAGGTACCCCCAGCCCATAACTATAGTCCTCCTCTCCCCTCCAGAGGTACCCCCAGCCCATAACTATAGTCCTCCTCTCCCCTCCTCTCCCCTCCAGAGGTACCCCCAGCCCATAACTATAGTCCTCCTCTCCCCTCCAGAGGTACCCCCCAGCCCATAACTATAGTCCTCCTCTCCCCCTCCAGAGGTACCCCCAGCCCATAACTATAGTCCTCCTCTCCCCTCCAGAGGTACCCTCAGCCCATAACTATAGTCCTCCTCTCCCCCTCCAGAGGTACCCCCAGTCCATAACTATAGTCCTCCTCTCCCCTCCAGGGTTACCCCCAGCCCATAACTATAGTCCTCCTCTCTCCCCCTCCAGAGGTACCCCCCCAACCCATAACTATGTCCTCCTCTCCCCCTTCCAAGTACCCCCAGTCCATAACTATAGTCCTCCTCTCCCCCTCCAAAGGTAACACCCAGCCCATACTATAGTCCTCCTCTCCCCTCCAGAGGTACCCCCAGTCCATAACTATAGTCCTCCTCTCCCCTCCAGAGGTACCCCCAGCCCATAACTATAGTCCTCCCCTCCCCTCCCCTCCAGAGGTACCCTCAGCCCATAACTATAGTCCTCCTCTCCCCTCCAGAGGTACCCCCAGCCCATAACTACAGTCCTCCCCTCCCCTCCCTCCCTCCAGAGGTACCCCTCAGCCCATACCTATAGTCCTCCTCTCCCCTCCAGAGGTACCCCCAGCCCATAACTATAGTCCTCCTCTCCCCTCCAGAGGTACCCCCAGCCGCGGGGCCAAGCTAAGAAGCCGGTGGTGAAGTATGGGATGGGAGGGATGATCGTCATGCTTCTCATCTGTATCATCTGGTTCCCTCTACTCTTCATGTCTCTGGTCAAGTCTGTGGTGGGGGTGGTCAACAAACCACTGGACGTCTCCTTCTCCATCACCCTGGCCGGGTTCCAGGTACTGTAGCAGAACTAAGGGTCTACTACTGATAGGTCCATCAGTTGATCGGGATCGGGATTGATCCGTCAGTTAGCCAGCCAGTTTTTGGTGACCTGCTTTTTGCTTAAGATGTTCTGTAGATTCCATCCTACATTATGTCTTCCAGCCCATCTTCACCATGAGTGCTCAGCAGAACCAGCTCAGAGGAGTCTCCAGCCGTGACTTCCATGGCACCTTCATGAGGTCATACCTGTCCTACCCTGTAAGTACACGGTTACAAGGATTTTATGTATTTTATGCAACTACTATGTGTGTTGTCTCACTGGGTTGGTAGCCAAGCACAGGACAAATCTACATTGTAACAGAGGGATAATGTTATCTTCCTCTCCTCTCCTCCTCTCCTCCTCTCCTCCTCACCTCCTCTCTTCCCCTCCTCCTCTCCTCCCTCGCCTCCTCCATCCTCCTCTCCTCTCTCCTCTCCTCCTCTCTTCCTCTCCTCTCCTCCTCTCTTCCTCTCCTCCTCGCCTCCTCACCTCCTCTCTTCCCCTCCTCCCCTCCAACTCTCCTCCTCTCTTCCTCTCCTCTCCTCCTCTCTTCCTCTCCTCCTCACCTCCTCACCTCCTCTCTTCCCCTCCTCCTCTCCTCCTCTCCTCCTCTCCTTCTCTTCCCCTCCTCCTCTCCTCCTCTCCTCTCTACAGAAAGCGATGCAGTGGTTGGAGTCCTACATGCCAGAGGATCTGACCATAGCTGAGTTGGAGGGCAGCTCTAACAGTCTGTGGACCATCAGTCCTCCCAGTAGAACTAACATCATGGAGATGCTCAACTCCAAGGAACAGTTCCCCATCACTGTAGCTTGGTCTGTCCAGCGGTAAGAACATTCCCCATCCCTGTAGCTTGGTCTGTCCAGCGGTAAGAACAGTTCCCCATCACTGTAGCTTGGTCTGTCCAGCGGTAAGAACAGTTCCCCATCCCTGTAGCTTGGTCTGTCCAGCGGTAAGAACAGTTCCCCATCCCTGTAGCTTGGTCTGTCCAGCGGTAAGAACAGTTCCCCATCCCTGTAGCTTGGTCTGTCCAGCGGTAAGAACAGTTCCCCATCCCTGTTTGCTTGGGCTGTCCAGCGGTAAGAAAAAGTTTTTCCCCATCCTGTAGCTTGGTCTGTCCAGCGGTAAGAACAGTTCCCCATCCCTGTAGCTTGGTCTGTCCAGCGGTAAGAACAGTTCCCCATCCTGTAGCTTGGTCTTTCAGCGGTAAGAACAATTTAAAAATTTTCCCTGTAGCTTGGTTGTCAGCGGTAAGAACAGTTTCCCATCCTGTAGCTTGGTTTGTCAGGTAGAAAAAGTTCCCCATCCCTGTAGCTTGGTCTGTAAGCGCGGGAAAAAAAGTTCCCCATCCCTGTAGCTTGGTCTGTCCAGCGGGTAAGAAAGTTCCCATCCCTGTAGCTTGGTTGTCCAGCGGTAAGAACAGTTTTCCCCCTCCCTGTAGCTTGGTCTGTCCGGTAAAAGGAGAAAAAGTTCCCATCCCGTAGCTTGGTTGTCCAGCGGGTTTAAAAAAACAGTTCCCCATCCCTGTCGCTTGGTCTGTCCAGCGGTAAAGAAACAGTTCCCATCCCTGTAGCTTGGTGTCCAGCGGTAAAAAAACAGTTCCCATCCCTGAGTTGGTCTGTCCAGCGGTAAGAACAGTTCCCCTCCTGTAGCTTGGTCTGTCCAAACGGTTAAGAAAACAGTTCCCCAAACCTGTAGCTTGGTCTGTCCAGCGGTAAGAACAGTTCCCCATCCCTGTAGCTTGGTCTTTTCCAGCGGGGTAAAAAAACGTTCCCCATCCCGTAGCTTGGTCTGTAGCGGTAAGAAACAGTTCCCAAACCCTGTAGCTTGGTCTGTCCAGCGGGAATAAGAACAGTTCCCTCCCTGTAGCTTTGGGCTGTCCAGCGGTAAGAACAGTTCCCCATCCTGTAGCTTGGTCTGCCAGCGGTTGAGAAAGTTCCCCCTCCCTGTAGCTTGGTCTGTCAGCGGTAAGAACAGTTCCCCATCCGTAGCTTGGTCGTCCACCGGTAGAACCCTTCCCAACCCTTAGCTGGTCTGTCCAGCGGTAAGAAAGTTTCCCCATCCTGTAGTTGGGCTGCCAGCGTAAGAAAGTTTCCCCTCCCCGTAGCTTGGTTTTGTCCCGCGGGGGGTAAGAACAGTTCCCCATCCTGTAGCTTGGTTGTCAGCGGTGAGGTTCACTACGACTGGTCCGTTCTAAGAGTAAGTAGTGTTAGAGTAGTGTAGAGCAGTTGTTGGTGGAGACCTCTGCGTGTGATGAGTTTGAATAACAGACTGGAACTTTAAAGGAGGGTGGTGCTTGAAATCATTGTTCCTCCTCTGTTTACCATGGTTACCTGCAAGGAAACACGTGCTGTCATCATTGCTTTGCACAAAAAGGGCTTCACAGGCAAGGATATTGCTGCTAGTAAGATTGCACCAGTCACGATCGTTGTGAGAAGCGGACCAAGGCGCAGCGTGATAGGCGTACATCTTTTAATGAGTACTTTTCACAAATAACAAAACAACAAAACGATACGTGAAGTCTAAAGGTTCACCAACACAAACCTATACAGAACAAGATCCCACAAATAACTAGTGCCAACAGGCTGCCTAAGTATGGTTCCCAATCAGAGACAACGAGAATCAGCTGCCTCTGATTGGGAACCACCCTGGCCAACATAGAAAACACGAACTAGAACACAACATAGAAAATCACACATAGAAAATCCACACCCTGGCTCAACATATAAGAGTCCCCAGAGTCCCCAGAGGTGTGACAGTACCCCCCCCCAAAGGCGCGGACTGCGACCGCGCCAACCAAACCCAACAGGGGAAGGACCGGGTGGGCATTCCGCCTCGGAGGCGGATCCGGCTCCGGGCGTGACCACCACTCTCTCGCTACCCCCCCTTAGCGCCCCTGGTCTGGTCTGGCCCCGCTGGCCGGACCTGGACTGGACACCGGTGGAGCGGATTGCTCAGGCTCCGGTGTGGAGCAGGCACCGGTGGAACAGGCACGGGCTGTGCCGGACTGACGACGCGCACCACTGGCTTGGTGCGGGGAGTAGGAACGGGCCGGACCGGGCTGACGACGCGCACCACTGGCTTGGTGCGGGGAGCAGGAACGGGCCGGACCGGGCTGGCGACGCGCACCACTGGCTTGGTGCGGGGAGCAGGACGGGCCGGACCGGGCTGACGACGCGCACCACTGGCTTGGTGCGGGGAGCAGGAACGGGCCGGACTGGGCTGGCGACGCGCACCACTGGCTTGGTGCGGGGAGCAGGAATGGGCCGGACCGGGCTGGCGACGCGCACCACTGGCTTGGTGCGGGGAGCAGGAACGGGCCGGACCGGGCTGGCGACGCGCACCACAGGCTTGGTGCGGGGAGCAGGAACGGGCCGGACCGGGCTGACGGACGCGCACCACAGGCTTTGTGCGGGGAGCAGGAACGGGCCGGACCGGGCTGACGACGCGCACCACAGGCTTGGTGCGGGGAGCAGGAACGGGCCGGACCGGGCTGGCGACGCGCACCACAGGCTTGGTGCGGGGAGCAGGAACGGGCCGGACCGGGCTGACGACGCGCACCACAGGCTTGGTGCGGGGAGCAGGAACGGGCCGGACCGGGCTGGCGACGCGCACCACTGGCTTGGTGCGGGGAGCAGGAACGGGCCGGACCGGGCTGGCGACGCGCACCACTGCCTTGGTGCGGGGAGCAGGAACGGGCCGGACCGGGCTGACGACGCGCACCACAGGCTTGGTGCGGGGAGCAGGAACGGGCCGGACCGGGCTGGCGACGCGCACCACTGGCTTGGTGCGGGGAGCAGGAACGGGCCGGGGCGGGCTGGCGACGCGCACCACAGGCTTGGTGCGGGGAGCAGGAACAGGCCGGGGCGGGCTGGCGACGCGCACCACAGGCTTGGTGCGGGGAGCAGGAACAGGCCGGACCGGGCTGGCGACGCGCACCACAGGCTTGGTGCGAGGGGCAGGAACAGGCCGGACCGTACTGGGAACACACACCACTGGCCTTGTGCGGGGATCAGGAACGGGCCGGACCGGACTGGTAACACACCCCAGTACCTCTCGCCGTGCCTCTACACTCTCGTTCCCCCTCATGACCAATGGCCCCCGTAACCTGGTGGCCTCCTCTCCTAGTCCGCAAACTCGCCCTGTAGCTGCCTCCAGCAGCCCCGTCATCCATGCCGTGTGCCCCCCCAAAAAAATTACTTGGGGTTGCCTCTCGCCTGTCCGACGACGGCCCGGTTGGCGCCGCTTCTCCTCTCCTGCCTGGGCATCCTCCCTCATCGCCCTCCGGTAGCGGACGGCCTCCTCCTCTGTGATTCTCCCCCAACCGAGGAGGGCATCTACCAGAGTAACCTCCTGTTCCAAACCCGGCGTTTGCTCCTGCACACGCTGCTTGGTCCTATTTTGGTGGGATCTTCTGTCACGATCGTTGTAAGAAGCGGACCAAGGCGCAGCGTGATAGGCGTACATCTTTTAATGAGTACTTTTCACAAATAACAAAACAACAAAACGATACGTGAAGTATGTGTCATATTAGATTAGTAGAGTAGAGATTAGTAGAGTAGAGATGAGTAGAGATTAGTAGAGATTAGTAGAGTAGAGATTAGTAGAGTAGAGATGAGTAGAGATTAGTAGAGTAGAGATTAGTAGAGTAGAGATTAGTAGAGATTAGTAGAGTAGAGATGAGTAGAGTAGAGATGAGTAGAGATGAGTAGAGTAGAGATGAGTAGAGATGAGTAGAGTAGAGATGAGTAGAGATTAGTATAGTAGAGATTAGTAGAGATTAGTAGAGATTAGTAGAGTAGAGATGAGTAGAGATTAGTAGAGTAGAGATGAGTAGAGATTAGTAGAGTAGAGATGAGTAGAGATTAGTAGAGTAGAGATTAGTAGAGATTAGTAGAGTAGAGATTAGTAGAGTAGAGATGAGTAGAGATTAGTAGAGTAGAGATTAGTAGAGTAGAGATTAGTAGAGTAGAGATGAGTAGAGTAGAGATGAGTAGAGTAGAGATTAGTAGAGTAGAGATTAGTAGAGTAGAGATGAGTAGAGATTAGTAGAGTAGAGATGAGTAGAGTAGAGATTAGTAGAGTAGAGATAAGAGGATCTTTATTTTCTCAGCCATACAGATTCATTTTAATCACATAAATGTGTCATATTACATTTTGCTTTAAAGTCTCATAAACCTGTTTGAGATTATAAAAGATGATCTGATCATTTCAATCAGGAACCTGACTCTGGGAGCGAAGGCTGAGTTTGCGACTGGGAAGAAGGTGACGTTCCTGGATGATCCAACCAAACTGGAGCTGAGCCTCCTGCTCAACGGGACAAGGCGAGGCGGAGTGTGAGTCTACTTTCTATGGGTCAATTATTCTTTTGATTTTTTTTATCAAACTACTTTTATCTTATAGCTAGAATCTGCATTTGAAACAATAACAAAGCGCCCCGCCTCTGTTTTGGTAAAAAACTGAGAAATGTAACCACTTTCAAAATTATAACAATGTTTTGAGGCTATGCAGTGTTTGTTTACATTTACGTTGTTTACAAACATACATTTTGGGTTCTGATGAAGTACGACAATTGAACTAAACTCATGAGGCATTTAAACCGTAAAACTTCAACGCTGAGTCTCAAAAAGCCACCTGTCCCTTTTAATAGATGGGCAACGGCACGCATTTCAGCAAATAAACGCTTGTTTCACATTTAATGCCGGGTCTAAATGAATTATTTACGAGGTTACCATTAATTACCATTAATTGTTTACGAGGTTTAATGTTTGATTTGTTACATTCAATAATTCAGTAATGACTCGAAAAAATGATGGCAATCATCTGTTTTTATCGCCAGTAAGAAACTGCTAGTCATTGGCTGCTAACAGCTGAGAACTGCTAGCTAACTGGCTGCTAACAGCTGAGAACTGCTAGCTAACTGGCTGCTAACAGCTGAGAACTGCTAGCTAACTGGCTGCTAACAGCTGAGAACTGCTAGCTAACTGGCTGCTAACAGCAGAGAACTGCTAGCTAACTGGCTGCTAACAGCTGAGAACTGCTAGCTCCAATTTGTAAGTCGCTCTGGATAAGAGCGTCTGCTAAATGACGTAAATGTAATGTAAATGTAACTGGCTGCTAACAGCTGAGAACTGCTAGCCGTTTGCTGCTAACAGCTGAGAACTGCTAGCCATTTGCTGCTAACAGCTGAGAACTGCTAGCTAACTGGCTGCTAACATCTGTGAACTACTAGCCATTGGCTGCTAACAGCTGAGAACTGCTAGCCGTTGGCTGCTAACAGCTGAGAACTGCTAGCTAACTGGCAAGCACAAAAACAGTCAACAACTTCGGGAGTACAGAAACCTAGAAAGTAACAACTGCCGAAAATGCACAGTCAAAGAGGTTAGTTTATTCTTGTCATGGTCATTTTTTAAAATAGAGGCATACTGAGACACAATAAACGTGACACTAGCTAGGTTTCCAACCAATTGGCGACAGATTTTCATGCAAATATTCTAAGATCTAAATCAATTAAATATGCGCATTTTCCCTCCAGAGGTGTGTTTCCATCAAATTGACTTGTTGCGGATAAAGGTCTGTGTGTGATGACGTAGTGTCCATAAACATTTATTTTGCGGTTAAATTCCCTTATACCGAATAAAAAATACAAGTTAAATGGGTTTCCATCGCATTTTCAGCTCTACTGATGGTTTTGTCACAAAAAATATTGCTTTTATGTAGTGAAGTGCAGACCAGTCAATTTCTTCCACACCGATCTTGACAAACCATTTCTGTATGGACCTCGCTTTGTGCACGGGGGCATTGTCATGCTGAAACAGGAAAGGGCCTTCCCCAAACTGTTGCCACAAAGTTGGAAGCACAGAATTGTCTAGAATGTCATTGTATGCTGTAGCGTTAAGATCTCCCTTCACTAGAACTAAGGGGCCTAGCCCGAACCATGATAAACAGCCCAGACCATTATTCCTCCTCCACCAAACTTTACAGTTGGCACTATGCATTGGGGCAGGTACAATGCCTTGCAAAAGTATTCATCCCCCTTTGCTTTTTTCCTATTTTGTTGCATTACAACCTGTAATTTAAATCGATTTTTATTTGGAGTTCATGTAATGGATATACACAAAATAGTCCAAATTGGTGAGGTAAAATGAAAAATGTAACTTTCAAAATATTCTACAAAATAAATAACGGAAAAGTGGTGTGTGCATATGTATTCACCCCCTTTGCTATGAAGCCCCTAAATAAGATCTGGTGCAACCAATTACCTTCAGAAGTCACATAATTAGTTAAATAAAGTCCACCTGTGTGCACTCTAAGTGTCACATGATCTCAGTATATATACACCTGTTCTGAAAGGCCCCAGAGTCTGCAACACCACTAAGCAAGGGGTACCACCAAGCAAGCGGCACCATGAAGACCAAGGAGCTCTCCAAACAGGTCAGGGACAAAGTTGTGGAGAAGTACAGATCAGGGTTGGGTTATAAATAAATATCAAAAACTTTGAACATCCCACGGAGCACCATTAAATCCATTATTAAAAAATTGAAAGAATATGGCACCACAACAAACCTGCCAAGAGAGGGCCGCCCACCAAAACTCACAGACCAGGCAAGGAGGGCATTAATCAGAGGCAACAAAGAGGTCAAAGATAACCCTGAAGGAGCTGCAAAGCTCCACAGCGGCGATTGGAGTATTGATGTGTATTTTTAATGGTTTATCAGATGAAATTGAATTAATCATGAACATATAGTTAACATTCTTTGTGGCTAACTGAATTGGGCCGTTTGTTTTTGTCTCTCTCTTCAAACACAGTGAAGGGAGCGGCACCAGGGTTGAATAGAGTTTGGGCTAGACCTTTGTCTCCTTGGTATCTTCTTGATTGATTACAGCTTGAGGGGGTGAGGTACAGGGGAGCGGGTGATTGGTTGGAGTAATAGTTCAGCCGTCCTCAGGGACAAAGGAAGTGGGCGGAGCAATAAAAGAGCGGGAAAACTGAAGAGGACTATATAAGATGGAGGGGGACCTTAAGAATGTGTGCCCCTCTGCAGACGGGTATCGGCTTTGTTGAAAACTTTAATAAAGTCATTTCTTGATGCAACAAAAACTCTGTAAGACCTTATTTGTAATAAAGTATGGTGGTTATTTTCCACAACAGTATCTGTCCATAGGACCACTTTAAGCCGTACACTCCACAGAGCTGGGATTTACAGAAGAGTGGCCAGAAAAAAGCCATTGCTTAAAGAAATAAATAAGCAAACACATTTGGTGTTCGCCAAAAGGCATGTGGGAGACTCCCCAAACATATGGAAGAAGGTACTCTGGTCAGATGAGACTAAAATTCAGCTTTTTGGCCATCAAGGAAAACGCTATGTCTGGCGCAAACCCAACACCTCTCATCACCCCGAGAACACCATCCCCACAGTGAAGCATGGTGGTGGCAGCATCATGCTGTGGGGATGTTTTCCATCGGCAGGGACTGGGAAACTGGTCAGAATTGAAGGAATGATGGATGGCGCTAAATACAGGGAAATCCTTGAGGGAAACCTGTTTCAGTCTTCCAGAGATTTTAGACTGGGACGGAGGTTCACCTTCCAGCAGGACAATGACCCTAAGCATCCTGCTAAAGCAACACTCGAGTGGTTTAAGGGGAAACATTTAAATGTCTTGGAATGGCCTAGTCAAAGCCCAGACCTCAATCCAATTGAGAATCTGTGGTATTACTTAAAGATAGCTGTACACCAGCGGAACCCATCCAACTTGAAGGAGCTGGAGCAGTTTTGCCTTGAAGAATGGGCAAAAGTCCCAGTGGCTAGATGTGCCAAGCTTATAGAGACATTCCCCAAGAGACTTGCAGCTGTAATTGCTGCAAAAGGTGGCTCTACAAAGTATTGACTTTGGGGGGGTGAATAGTTATGCACGCTCAAGTTTTAAAAAAAACGTATTTCTTGTTTGTTTCACAATACAAAATATTTTGCATCTTCAAAGTGGTAGGCATGTTGTGTAAATCAAATGAGACAAACCCCCCCAAAATCCATTTTAATTCCAGATTGTAAGGCAACAAAATAGGAAAAATGCCAAGGGGGGTTAATACTTTCGCAAGCCACTGTAGCGTTCTCCTGGCATCCGCCAAACCCAGATTCGTCCGTTGGACTGCCAGATGTTGAAGCGTGATTCATCACTCCAGAGAACGCGTTTCCACTGCTCCAGAGTCCAATGGAGGTGAGCCATGGAAACCCATCCCGACAAACAGTTACTGTGCTGACGTTGCTTCCAGAGGCAGTTTGGAACTAGGTAGTGAGTGTTGCAACCGAGGACAGACGATTTTTACGCGCTACGTGCTTCAGTACTCGGCGGTCCCGTTCTGTGAGCTTGTGTGGCCTACCACTTCGCGGCTGAGCCGTTGTTGCTCCTAGACGTGTCCACTTCACAATAACAGCACTTACAGTTGACCTGGGCAGCTCTGGCAGGGCAGCAATTTGACGAGCTGACTTGTTAGAAAGGTGGCATCCTATGACGGTGCCACGTTGAAAGTAACTGAGCTCTTCAGTAAGGCCATTCTACTGCCAATGTTTGTCTATGGAGATTGCATGGCTGTCTGCTCGAATTTTATACGCCTGTCAGCAACGGGTGTGGCTGAAATAGCCGAATCCACTAATTTGAAGGGGTGTCCACATACTGCTGTATATATAGTGTAACTTATTTCATCTGTAGCCTAATAAGCTGCATGCTTTCCCGAGTTGTAGTGGGAGCATAACATAACATGTCATCGCGTGACTTCATCGATATGATGGTCATTATATCAATATTTGCACATAAAAGCGTTTCCACCGCAATTTCTCACATCATTAATTTTACTGACACAAAAAACCCACCTTGTCTAGTGTATTTTGTCTTGTCGACATTTGGAAAGTTTACCGAAAAATGTGCCGTTTCCATCTGGCCTGTTGTGACATTTTGCATCCAACATACTAAGGTTGGATGGAAACCTGGTTACTGTGTGTGAATGATAACAGGTTAGTGCAGGAAATGAAGAAATTGATTAAAATGGTGAAAGTGGAATGCTGGAATTAAACAATTAACTATGCAAATGAGCAAAAGTTGGTGCGTTAAGGAAATAGAAGCCTGGCTCAAATAGAAGCCTGTCGCTAAAAAGCGCCTGTTGTGTTCAGTGATTTAAGCAAATAAACGCCCAGGCTATTAATTGAAGTTTTACGGCAAGTTATATTCTTCAAGAATCAGTGGGGCATGGACTCTACAAGGTGTCAAAAGCGTTCCACAGGGATGCTCAAAGGCACTTAAATATTTTGTCTTGCCCATTCACCCTCTGAATGGCACACATACACAATCCATGTCTCAATTGTCTAAAGGCTTAAAAATCCTTCTTTAACCTGTCTCCTCCCCTTCATCTACACTGATTGAAGTGGATTTAACAGGTGACATCAATAAGAGATCATAGCTTTCACCTGATCAGTCTACAGTATGTCCTGGAAAGAGTAGGTGTCATTAATGTTTTGTGTACTCAGTGTATATCATTTATTTATAAAAAATAAAATAAAGGATGTCGTAAGTATTCTAGCTTTAAAAAACTAATCTGAAATATTGTTTCTATGTGATAACTGTTGTTAGTAACAACCAGTTGTATTCTTCTGTTACCAGGGTGATAAAACATGTCTTCCCGCGGTATCTCCGAGCCCCTAGTACCTCCGAGGCCAAGCCCATAGAACAGCTGTATAAAGGTAAAGCAGCATTTTTATTATTTTTTATTTCACCTTTATTTAACCAGGTGGAATTTCTTTCCTCACAATGTGTTATTTAAACACATTCTGAATTACACCATGATGTTCGGGGGTCTCTATTGAGTGCAGGCGCTTGCACGTCCACACACATTTTATTATGGACCTAATAATAAAGATTTAAACTGTAAAAATGTAAACTGTAAAAATTGTATTACCTTTTAATGTGGCATGAACACAACCAGTCATGATATTTTCATCTGATTGTCAAACAAATCACTTCAAAAAGCAGGCTACCTGTGCATGTTCGTCCACTCCAAAATAATTCCAGTATCCAAACTGTATGTATACTCGCGCCATTTGATGAATGGAAACAGACATCTGTTACAAAACACCACAAGTGTGCCTAATGACATTCAGCCATTGATTAGGTCTATATTGATTAGGTCTATATTGATTAGTTCTATATTGATTAGGTCTATATTGATTAGTTCTATATTAATTAGGTCTATATTGATTAGGTCTATATTGATTAGGTCTATATTGATTAGTTCTATATTGATTAGGTCTATATTGATTAGTTCTATATTAATTAGGTCTATATTGATTAGTTCTATATTGATTAGTTCTATATTAATTAGGTCTATATTGATTAGTTCTATATTAATTAGGTCTATATTGATTAGGTCTATATTGATTAGGTCTATATTGATTAGGTCTATATTGATTAGGTCTTTATTGATTAGTTCTATATTAATTAGTTCTATATTGATTAGTTCTATATTAATTAGGTCTATATTGATGTCAATGCTGGCGTAGGGGTGGTGTGGAAATCAGATGCAGGATGCAGAAGTAGTCCAAAAAGCTTTAATAAAGTCCACAGAAATGAACGGCAAAAACAGCGCCGCCGTCACAGAGAACAAAATAACGCACCAAGCGTAAATACTAAACACGCACAAACAGTGCGGAACTCACTAGACAAAAATGAGTACTAACTTAGACATAGAAAACACCTGCTGACAACGAACAACTACACACAACCCCAAGACAGAAACAACGAGAACTTAAAGGCCACATAATCAAGACAAAATGAGAAACAGGTGTACAAAACAGACCAAACCAAAAGAACACAGAAACACCGAACGGTGGCAGCTAGTACTCCGGAGACGACGACCACCGAAGCCTGCCCGAACAAGGAGAAGGAGCAGCCTCGGCAGAAACCGTGACAGTACCCCCCCCCTTGACGCGCGGCTCCAGCCGTGCGCCGACCCCGGCCTCGGGGACGACCAGGAGGACGCGGAGCAGGGCGCGTGGGATGACCCTGATGGAATTCAGTCAGAAGAGACGGGTCTAAGATATCTCTCCTCGGCACCCAGCACCGCTCCTCCGGACCGTACCCCTCCCACTCCGGCCCTGGCAATACGACCTCAGAAACCTACCCACATCCTGGTTTACCCGTTCTACCTGCCCATTGCTCTCCGGGTGGTACCCCGAGGTAAGGCTCACCGAGACCCCCAAACGCTCCATGAACGCTCTCCAGACACGAGAGGTAAACTGGGAGCCTCGATCAGACACTATATCCTCGGGGACCCCGTAATGCCGGAAGACGTGAGTAAATAGTGCCTCAGCGGTCTGTAGGGCAGTGGGGAGACCCGGCATGGGAAGGAGACGACAGGCCTTCGAGAACCGATCCACAACGACCAGTATGGTGGTATTTCCCTGGGAGGGGGGAAGGTCAGTAACGAAATCCACCGATAGGTGAGACCAGGGTCGTTGTGGAACGGGCAGGGGTTGTAGCTTACCCCGGGGAAGGTGTCTGGGTGCCTTACACTGGGCACACACCGAGCAGGAGGAGACATAAACCCTCACATCCCTGGCTAACGTTGGCCACCAGTACTTTGCGCTAAGACAGTGCACCGTCCGGCCAATCCCTGGATGTCCAGAGGAGGGTGACGTGTGAGCCCAATATATCAGTCGATCCCGAACCTCGAGCGGAACGTACGTCCGACCTGCAGGACACTGTGAAGGGCTAGGATCGGTGCGTAACGCCCGCTCGATCTCGGAATCGACCTCCCATACCACCGGTGCCACCAGGCACGACGGAGGGAGTATGGGAGTGGGCTCAACGGACCTCTCCTCCGTGTCATACCGCCGGGACAGAGCATCTGCCTTACCGTTCTGGGACCCAGGGATGTACGTGATCTTAAAAACGAACCGGGCCAGAAACATGTTCCACCTAGCCTGGCGAGGGTTCAGTCTCCTAGCTGCCCGGATGTACTCCAGGTTACGGTGGTCGGTCAAAATGAGGAAAGGGTGTTGAGCCCCCTCAAGCCAATGCCTCCACACCTTTAGAGCCTGGACCACGGCTAGCAACTCCCTGTCCCCCACGTCATAATTTCGCTCCGCCGGACTGAGCTTTTTAGAGTAAAAAGCACAGGGGCGGAGTTTCGGTGGCGTGCCAGACCGTTGCGAGAGCACGGCCCCTATACCGGCTTCAGACGCGTCTACCTCGACCTGGAATGGTAGCGCGGGATCCGGATGCGCCAGCACCGAGGTAAACAGGTCCTTCAGTCTCCCAAAAGCCCTATCCGCCTCAGCAGACCACTGCAAGCGCACCGGACCTCCTTTAAGAAGAGACGTTATGGGAGCTGCCACCTGTCCAAAACCCCGGATAAACCTCCTGTAGTAATTCGCAAAGCCCAAGAACCGCTGCACCTCTTTAACAGTAGTTGGAGTTTGCCAATTACGCACGGCCGACACACGGTCAACCTCCATCTTAACCCCTGACGCAGACAACTGATAACCCAAAAAGGAGACAGACTCCTGGAAAAACAGACATTTCTCTGCCTTGACATATAGGTCATGCTCCAACAATCTCCTCAACACTCGGCGCACCAGGGCTACATGCTCGGCTCGAGTAGAAGAATACACCAGAATGTCGTCAATATACACAACCACTCCCTGCCCCTGCATATCCCGGAAGATCTCATCTACGAAGGATTGGAAGACTGAAGGAGCATTCATTAACCCATATGGCATGACGAGATACTCGTAATGACCCGAGGTAGTACTAAATGCTGTCTTCCATTCATCGCCCCCTCTAATACGCACCAAGTTGTATGCGCTCCTGAGGTCTAGTTTTGTGAAGAACCGTGCCCCGTGTAAAGACTCCGTCATAGTCGCAATCAGAGGGAGTGGATAACTGTATTTTACAGTAATCTGATTGAGACTGCGGTAGTCAATACACGGGCGCAAACCTCCATCCTTTTTCTTCACAAAAAAGAAACTCGAGGACGCAGGGGAAGTGGAGGGCCGTATGTATCCTTGTCTCAGAGACTCGACTATGTAAGTCTCCATAGCTCTCTTCTCCTCTTGAGACAAAGGATACACATGGCTCCGCGGAAGCGCAGCTCCTACCTGGAGGTCTATCGCACAATCCCCCTGTCTATGTGGTGGCAATTGCGTCGCCTTTGTCTTACTAAACACAAGTGCTAAATCCTCATACTCGGGGGGAATGTGCAATGCGGGCACTTGGTTTGGACTCTCCACCGAGGTCGCCCCTACGGAAACGCCCAGACATCGCCAAACGCACTGAGCAGACCAATCCTTAAGAGCCCTCTGTTGCCACGAAATAGAGGGATTATGGGTAATCAACCAGGGAAGCCCCAGCACCACCGGATACGCAGGAGAGTCTATAAGATATAGTATAGTCTCCTCATGACCCTCCTGCGTCTCCATCCTAAGTGGAGCTGTGACCTCCCTAATCAACCCCGATCCCAACGGACGGCTATCTAGAGCATGTACAGGGAAAGGATTGTTGACAGGCAGGACGGGAATCCCTAACTCTGCACAAAATCTCCGATCTATGAAATTCCCAGCTGCGCCTGAATCTACTAGCGCCTTATGCTGGGAACGAGGTGCAACCTGTGGGAAGCAAACAGGTATGGTTAGGTGCACAACAGAGAGCTCTGGGTAAGTGGGGCGCCTACTCACCTGGAAGGACTCCCCAGTGCGTGACCTGCCGTCTCTTCCCCTAGGAGACCCCCCCCAGCACCTGGCCGCAGTGTGTCCTCTACGGCCACAGTTGGTACAGGGGTTGGTCCCCCTAGGGCTCCTTCTCCTCTCCTCTCTAGCGCCAGCACCCCCGAGCTCCATAGGACTAGGCTCGAAGGTGCTGGAGGGTGGAATGGACGGCCCCCACTCAGGACGTCCGCGGGTGGCCAGCAGGGTGTCCAGGCGAATGGCCATATCCACCAACTGGTCGAACGTGAGAGTGGTGTCCCTGCAGGCCAACTCACGACGGACGTCCTCCCGTAGGCTGCAGCGGAAGTGGTCTATGAGGGCTCGCTCATTCCACCCTGCGTCTGCCGCTAGAGTCCGGAACTCCAGTGCAAATTCCTGGGCGCTCCTCTTCCCGTCGGAGGTAGAATAGACATTCTCCCGCCGCCTTCCCCTCAGGTGGATGATCGAATACCGCCCTGAAGCGACGGGAGAACTCCGCATAGGTGATCGTCGCGGGGTCTATTCTCCTCCATTCGGCGTTGGCCCACTCCAACGCCTTGCCGGTGAGACAGGAGATGAGGGCGGAAACGCTCTCGTGTCCCGAGGGCACCGGGTGTACGGTGGCGAGGTAGAGTTCTACTTGTAGGAGGAAACCTTGACACCCGGCAGCGGTACCATCATACGCCCTCGGGAGCGAGAGCCGAATCCCACTGGTTTCCGGAGCGTGGACTAATGGACTGACCGGTGCTGGTGGTAATGTGGGAGGAGGCGTAGGTGCCCAACTGGTCTCCAGGCGATGCAAGGTGTTTATGACTCCCTGAAGAGCGTCGGTGATTTGGGCAATCCTGACATCCTGTCCGTGGACGCGCTCCTCCCATGACTCGGTCGCTGCTGCTGCTCCTGCTGATTCCATGAGTTGGTGTGTAGTTCTGTCAATGCTGGCGTAGGGGTGGTGTGGAAATCAGATGCAGGATGCAGAAGTAGTCCAAAATGCTTTAAT